GCCACGTGATATAAGGTCAAGAAGTCTCGACTTAAAACGCTTGCTAACAAAACCTTTGAAATACTGAGAAGTTGCAATGGGGCATTGTAACTTTGGTCAGACATAGTTTAGCATTGTGCGGGTTATTCTTCATTGAGTTACAGACCCCGGGCACAATTTGCTCGGCGACTTCTGAAAAATCCCCAAGGCTTTAACCCTCCCCCTCGAGCACTCTTTCGGTCTTCTTAGGAATTGCACAGCTTGATCAAATACATAAGACGGCCCTATCCTAAGTATTTTCCAATATAACTTAAGTGTCACGCGTCACGCCTGAAGTAAACTGAAGTGCTATGTTGCATTGTTCTCCAAAAGGTAATTGTTTGAGTTCAGCTATGCGCTGGGCTGGTACGAAGGTCTGCAAGCGAGAGGAGCTGGCAGTGTTCGGTGTCTCATTTTCATATGCTTGCATTTTTCCGAATTCCAAACTGCTATTGTGTATTTACTCCAAACGCGGTGCTTGGAGTTGATCGGAATCCTTGTTTGAAACATTCTTGCTTCTCAGTCATCCAGCTCATGCTGTTGCTATTGCATTTGCTGTTCGCGATGTGCGTGTAGGCCCGCAGCTAGAGAAAAATAGATCAGTTTGGTGTGTTCGAGGCCAAGTTCCGTGCCTTCCACTAGTGCAAGGCAGCGCGTGAGCCTGATTTGAGTTTATCTCAGTAGCGATGTACTGCCGGGCGACGGGCTCCAAAGGCCCCATCACGTCATCGGCGACGCGAACTGATCGCCTCTCGCCTCGTTCGCAGGGCGAGCATGGTGCACATGAGCCTCTCCCTCCTAGCTGGGCTGGCGTGTGTGAGCGCTGCCTCGGCCACCTTCCTCAAGACTCTTGGCCGCCAGACTGGCTACGACACCCCGCCGGACACGTCACTCTTCCCCGAGCCCGGGTCCCTCGAAACCCAGCACGCCCAAAGCGCGCTCAACGGCCTAGCCATCTTCGCCGGCACCTCGTCGTCGGCGTCGTTCACCTCTTTCACGCTCGACAACGCGCGCGTCACTGTCGGCCGACCGGCGGGCAGCGGCTCGTCGGCGCTGCGGCCCACGAGGATCGTCGTGACCGACGCGGCGGCGCGCGGGCTGGTGTGTGTGCCGCGCGGCGTTGTCGGCGTCGGCGGCGCGGCGGCCGGCGCCGGCCAGGCGGGACGGCTCAGCGGCAGCATCGCCGTCGGACAGGGCCGGGGTATCGTGGTCACCGTCGACCCCGCGCAGGCGTCCTCTGCGGCGGGACGTGGAGCGTCCGCCGTGGCTGGGGGAGGACAGGCCCACACCAGCGCAGGTTCAGGTGCGTCTGCGTCTGCTGGACGTGGAGCGTCCGCCGTGGCTGGGGGAGGACAGGCCCACACCAGCGCAGGTTCAGGTGCGTCTGCGTCTGCTGGACGTGGAGCGTCCGCTACGGCTGAGGGAGGACAGGCCCACACCAGCGCAGGTCTCGGTGTGTCTGCGTCCGGTGGACGTGGAGCCTCAGCCTCGGCTGGGGGAGGACGGGCTCACACCAGTGCCGGCCGCGGTGTGTCTGTGTCTGCTGGACGTGAAGCCTCCGCTTCGGGTGGGGGACGACAGACCCACGTCATTGTAGATCACGGTGTCTCTGAGTCTGCCGGGCGAGGAGCGTCCGTCGAGGGGGGTGATGGAGCCTCAGCATTGACCGGAGGAAGACAAGAATATGGCAGCGCAGATCGCAGCGAGCCTTTGACCGCTGGAGACGGAGTGTCTGCCGAGGCGGATGAAGAAGACTTCACCTCGGCTGGGGGAGGACAGGTCCACGCCAGCGCAGATCGTGTGGTGTTGACGTCGGCTGGACGTGGGGTGACCACCTCAGCTGGGGGAGGACGAGTTCACACCAGCGCCGACCGCGGTGTGTCTGCATCTGCTGGACGTGGAGCCTCAGCCTCGGCTGGGGGAGGTAGGGCTCACGCCAGCGCAGGTCTTGGTGTGTCTGCGTCTGCTGGGCGCGGAGTGTCCATCTCAGCTGGGGGAGGACAGGTTCACACCAGCGCCGGCCGCGGTGTGTCTGCATCTGCTGGACGTGGAGCCTCAGCCTCGGCTGGAGGAGGAAGGGCTCACGCCAGCGCAGGTCTTGGTGTGTCTGTGTCTGCTGGACATGAAGTGTCTGCCGTGGCGGGTGAAGGAGACTCCACCTCGGCTGAAGAAGGTCAAATCCACGTCAGTGTAGACCGCGGAGTGTCTGAATCCACCGGGTCTGGAGTGTTCATCGAAGGGGGTGATGGAGCCTCAGCATTGACCGGAGGAAGACAAGAATATGGTAGCGCAGATCGCAGCGAGCCTTTGACCGCTGGAGACGGAGTGTCTACCGAGGAGGATGAAGAAGACTTCACCTCGGCTGGGGGAGGACAGGTCCACACCACCGCAGATCGTGTTGTGACGGTGTCTGCTGGACGTGGAGTGTCCGTCTCAGCTGAGGGAGGACGGGTTCACACCAGCGCCGGCCGCGGTGCGTCTGCGTCTGCTGGACGTGGAGCCTCAGCCTCGGCTGGGGGAGGTAGGGCTCACGCCAGCGCAGGTCTTGGTGTGTCTGCGTCTGCTGGACGTGGAGCCTCAGCCTCAGCTGGGGGAGGTAGGGCTCACGCCAGCGCAGGTCTTGGTGTGTCTGCGTCTGCTGGACGTGGAGCCTCAGCCTCGGCTGGGGGAGGTAGGGCTCACGCCACCGCAGGTCTTGGTGTGTCTGCGTCTGCTGGACGTGGAGCCTCAGCTTCGGCTGGGGGCGGACGGGCCCACGCCAGTACCGGCCGCGGTGTGTCTGCGTCTGCTGGACGTGAAGCCTCCGCTTCGACTGGGGGACGACAAACCCACGTCATTGTAGATCACGGCGTCTCTGGGTCCACCGGGCGTGAAGTGTCCGTCGAAGGGGGTGATGGAGCCTCAGCATTGACCGGAGGAAGACAGGAATATGGCAGCGCAGATCGCAGCGAGCCTTTGTCCGCTGGAGACGAAGTGTCTACCGAGGAGGATGAAGAAGACTTCACCTCGGCTGGGGGAGGACAGGTCCACACCAGCGCAGATCGTGTTGTATCTGTATCTGCTGGACGTGGGGTGACCACCTCAGCTGGGGGAGGACGAGTTCACACCAGCGCCGGCCGCGGTGCATCTGCATCTGCTGGACGTGGAGCCTCAGCCTCGGCTGGGGGAGGACGAGCTCACGCCAGCGCAGGCCGCGGTGTATCTGCATCTGCTGGACGTGGAGCCTCAGCCTCGGCTGGGGGAGGTAGAGCTCATGCCAGCGCAGGTCTCGGTGTGTCTGCGTCTTCTGGACGTGGAGCTTCAGCCTCGGCCGGGGGAGGACGGGCTCACGCCAGCGCTGGCCGCGGTGTGTCTGCGTCTGCTGGACGTGAAGCCTCATCCGTGGCGGGTGAAGGAGTCTTCACATCAGCTGGGAGAGGACAGACCCAAATCATTGCAGAACACGGCGCATCGTTGTCTGCCGGACGCAACACTACGTCCGTGGAGCGTGGCTCCGCCTTCGCCTCGGCCAGCGACGGCTCTACTTACACCAGCAGCTTTGGTACCGGCTCTAGCGCAGCCTCGTCCGTCGGCAGCGACGGCCGCGTCTCGATCGATGTCAGCGGCGAGCACGCGCAGGCGGCCGCACTCGGCGCCGACGGCCTTTCCGTCACGATCAGCGGCGACGGCCGCTACTCGGCCGTCGACGAGTCGCTCTGCGAGTGTGTGCCGAGCTACCTGTGCGACGCCGAGGGCTTCGTCAACCTGGCAGGCAGCGGCTTGATCGACGTGAGGAGCTTTACGGACGTGCCGGTGGCAGCGGCGCGTGCCTCCAAGTGTCGACCGGACGAGACGTGTTGCCGCCACCGCGAGGGCACCGACAAGGCGGCCATCAGCTGGCTACCGACTGCGTGTGGCACCCGCTCGCCCATCGGACTCGACAGCCGCATCGTCGGAGGGGAGGTGAGTCTGTCGCCGGGTCGCTGCTGACGAGGCGGTGGTGTAAGACCTGGGGTGAGTGGGCTTGTGCACGCGGTTTTTTAGGGGTTTCGAAGGGGGTACTTGAGGCTGGGGAGGCCGGACATCATTTAAGGTGAAGAGCCATGATTAAGGCGTTGTTGATCCTAGCATTCAGGCCCTAGTGCGCGAGCATGAGCATAGAATGCAACTAAGTTGCATTCAAAACCGAATTCGGAAGGACTTAAACATTCGTCCGAGTGCTAGAAGCTGCAGTCAGCTGAGTCTAGCCACGCAACAGCCATGACTGCCGCCGGCACACACGTCACACCAGACCCGCTTGAGGTCAGCCTTCGCAGGCTGCCGCTGATCGTATCGCCCCGCCCCCTGCTGACGTCCCGCCCCCTGCTGCAGGCCTCTCGGCTCGGCCGGCATCCGTGGATGGTGGCGCTGCTGAAGCGAGTGCCGAACACGGAGGGCGCGCCAGAGAAGCTCACCTTCCTGTGCGGCGGCTCGCTGGTCGCCAACGACATCGTCCTCACCGCTGCTCACTGCGTCAAGGAGTGAGCGCGAGATACCGTGCGGGTATCAGATCGTGTTGGGGAAGTGCTGCGAGGAATGCATGGTCCAAAGATGTGAGGTGCATGGCTAAATGATGATGGTTATGTGATGGCGCAGGATGTGACCAGCGAATTCTTAAGGGATGAGGAAGGGGACCTCGGTGACAACGCACCACGCCGATTTTTAACGTTCATACCATGTCATGGCATTTTTACCATTCTGCCATCTATGGGGCAAAGAGAAGGAAGGCCAGGTCTTCCGTTCTTCACCCCTCCCTTCCCTTCACCCCGCCCATTCGCTGTGCCCCTGGTGGCGGTTGCGTAACTTTATGGACGGTAGCGGACGAGTCGCAAGTGGGTTTTAGTCCCAAGCCGGATATTACTTCTAAGGGTCAGGGAACATTCTCAACGCCACTGACAGATAGTCCTTTTGACAGATACGTTGACCATTTTCGTGACAGGCAGCGAAGCTAACGGCACTAAACGCTTACACTGCGCTACCCGGCAAACGGTGACCGTCGCCACCGGTCCCTCGACAGCCACCCGAAGGAGAGCCTGGTGGTGCGTGCTGGCGAGTGGGACACGTCCAGCCGGGACCCCGTGTACGCGCACCAGGACCGCGGTGTGCTCCGCCTGCTCACCCACGAGAAGTTCCGTGCTGACACGCTCTTCAACGACGTGGCGCTGCTGAAGCTGACGCAGCCAGTGGAGACCGCGCCGCACATCAACACGCTCTGCCTGCCCAGCGCCGACGACTACTACATCGACTACAGCGACTGCATGGCCACCGGCTGGGGGCAGGAGTCTTTCGGTGAGACAATGAGGGATGGCCACCGGCTGGGGACGGGAGCCATTCGGTAAGACAGTGAGGGATGGCAACCGGCTGAGGACGGGAATCATTCGGTAAGACAGTGACGGGTCACGGGCTGGGGGCGGGAGTCATTCGGTAAGACAGTGAGAGATGAACACCAGCTGGGGGAGGAAGTCATTCGGTAAGACAGTGACGGGCCACCGGCTGGGGGCGGGGGTCATTCAGTAAGACAGCGACGGACCACCGGTTGGGGGCGGGAGTCATTCAGTAACAGTGACGGGCCACAGGCTGGGGGCGGGAGTCTTTCGGTAAGACAGTAACGGGCCACCGGCTGGAGGCGGGAGTCATTCGGTAAGACAGTAACGGGCCACCGGCTGCGGGCGGGAGTCATTCAGTAAGACAGTGCCGTGCTACCGGCTAGGGATGGGAGCCTTTCGGCAAGATAGTGACGGGCCATCGGCTGGGGGCGGGAGTCATTCGGTAAGACAGTAACGGGTACTTGCGAGGGGAATGCTTCGGTCGGGACACCAGTAGTTCGGTAAGGCGGTGGCAAGGGGTGCAGGCCGGTCGGGAAGGGAGGAATTAAGGTCAGCAACTGTTGTTGGTGGTGCGATAGTGGCGAGGAACAAGGGCCCTTCGACGAGTGAGTCAGCACTTGTTCCTTGACGGCATACTAGGGATCGGCGCATTTCGGTGATAGAAGTGCTGAGTCAGGAGTGTCAATTTCAGCGAGAGACTGAGGTGGGGGCCGCTCATTGGGGGAAAAACTAAGCAGGGCTGTTCTGTGAGCGAAGGCTTATGTCCAAGGATGACCGAGCAGGCGAACGGATGAACAAGGCAGTTTAGAGTGAACAGAGAACAGAAAAACTGAGGACAGAACATGTGTCGTTATGTGGATGAGCATATGTACCCCACGTCTGGTTTCGTGTGCCGCTTCTCTGCATCCCATTTTGCTGTTACGCCATTGTCAGTTTGATAAAGGCACACAAGTGCGATTTGATATTGCAAGCTTCGTGGTGAACAACACAAATTAGAATGGCTCTTGGATATTGTGGCAAAACAGAGTTGTTGCTGTTGTAGGTTCTGTTGGCGGGTATGAACATACCAACTGTCTGGTATTTATTCATTCATATAAGCATGCTGTTGTGCAGGTGTTTCTCATTTGCTCAGATATCGTGTTTGCTCAGAACACTCCTTTCCACAACCAGCCAGTGACAGAATGCCTCAATTCGATATTAAGAGCCTAATATTGACGGCCAACGACCAATGGATAGTCAGTGTGAAGCTGCCTGTACATACAAATGTTTGTTTGTTCTGGAATCACTCACAAACTGGAGCCAGAGAGCACCCAGGCCCTCTCGTTGCCATGGACACTGCAGATTACCCAATCCGGTGAACGTTGGTTATCATCAACGTTGTTTACAAACTTCATGGTATTTTGCATGAGGCCTGCCCAATAGTTCTCCGCGCGCTCTTTGTCGCCATCGCCCTTCACTAGCCAACGTCCTTTTGATCGATATGCCCCTCCGCAGACAATACCGACTACCCCAGCATTCTGAAGGAGGTGCGGCTGTCCAAGGTGGACCAGGGCCAGTGCCAGAGCCGGATGCGAGAGACGCGCCTGGGCCGCTGGTTCCGGCTGCACGACACCTTCCTCTGCGCCGGTGGCCACCCTGGCGTCGACACGTGCAAGGGCGACGGGGGCTCGCCGCTCGTGTGCCGCGACCACTCGAAGCGCGAGGAGACCCATGTTCAGATCGGCATCGTCGCATGGTCAGTTGGCGATGGGCGCGCACTGCTGGTACCATGTGCTTTGCTACCGACGTTGTAGTCCTTCGCGCTGGTGGCGGACGGGTAGGCCGGGGCGCGGCAGGCGGGGAACCTCGAAATCAGGACCTTTCGGGCGAGGGAACGGCGACCTGTGCCGTAACGGATCCCACAGGCAGCTGCTGAGTAGTCTGAATGGGCCTGAGCGCTCTGGGAACTGAATGACGGTCCCCTGTTGGGACGAGACCGCGCCCGCAATGATATCTCATTTGTGGGATGTGTGTTTGTAGAGTGCATCTTACTAGGTTAGCATGCGTGTTGTACCCTGTCGTCAATAATTGTGACCCTTCTGAAGTAGGTGGCCGACTATTTTTTGCGATGACAGATTTATGGCAACTCAGATTTTAGCTCCAGACCAAGTGGCAGCGACTTTGCAGAGTCATCGTTCGCACATCTCTTGCTGTTCTTGCGGCTCTTCCTGTACTAGGACAGAATATGCATTGCACCCCGCCATCGGCAACTGTGAGCCTTTTGTGAACAGATAGCCAATTTCTATTCTGCGATCACATATTAATGCAAGCTAAGACTTAAGCACTGCGTTGAGTGGCGGTAATTTTTCAGACACTTCGTCCGCCCATTCCTTGCTCTTCTTGCTGTTTCCGTTTTGCGATCGCATATCAATGGAAACTTAGACTTTGGCACTGCGTTGAGCGGTGGTGATTTTCCAGACCCAACGTTTGCTCATCTCTTGCTGTTTTGTCTGCACCACACTGCCGCGCCTAACATTAGCCTTCCCCTCCAGGGGCATCAACTGCGGCCGCGGCGGTATGCCCGGGGTATACGCTGACGTCATCAAGCTGCTGCCATGGATTCAGGAGAAGCTGGCTCTGCTCACAGCAGGCCCCTCTGCCGGGTATTAGGGTCCAGCGTTGCTGGACCGCCCGCGGTGACAGACCGGATACAAGCCGCTGAGCCGCAAGGCAGAGCCCCCCCCCCCCCCCCCTCAGGCCAGTCCGTCCGCCCGTCCCCGCAGCCCGGCGGCGGACGATGAGCGCCCGCACCGATGGCGACGCCAAACAAACAAGCCAATATCAGCGTAGTTTGGTCCCCGGCGTGCCCGCCCTCCCCGTCAGGACGAGAGGCAGGCGATGCCAAATAGTCTCAGTTGCTGAGAGCCGCCCAATAACCGGCCACGTTAGCGTGGCGTTACGTCTCTCCGTAAGGCTCGTTTTGTGGCGGAGCTCCGTCAATATCCTGGCAAAATTTTGATATGAGCGGCGGGGCACGTTTCTGTAAGCCTTAATGAAAATTAAACCTTGGCATGGGCTGGCGCTGCTCGGAGTTTGGTACGCACTGAAGTGATAGCTATTTCAGGTTCTCAGGAAACGATGGAAGCAACGCGGCGTGTTTTTTCATGACGTTATGCTGCCCGCGGCAAATGAAATGAAACACAGGTGAAATACATCTGAAACGAAAGCACGTAGCGCTTATGTAAAGCGTACAGACTTCTCAAACGAATAACACAGGACAATGATACAAAACACTGGATTTTACGCGACAAGCGGCATCGCTCCGATGATAAACCGCAGCGGGTTTTCAGGTGTACTCACTACCAGCAAAATGCTGGAGCTTCGTTCGCTCACGCTAACTGAGAGCAAATCCCTCGAGAATTGCTGATTGAGTAGAACAAAAGACACCGAACAACCTTGGCAAAACCCCTCTATCTTTTGTCGACAAGTTAATCTTGCATCACTTTCATGCCCAACGAAGAGCTACTAAGTGCTCCCAACCCGTCACTAATGTCTCCACGGTCCACTGCTGGTGCGCTGCTGAATCGGCAACATACGAATGGAACCAACTTGCGAGTAAGCAGTGCAGTTCAAGGGTGGCCGGAGGATTAAATACATAGACAGGACAAAGACCAATCAATTAAAATGCAGTCACACGAGCGACTAAACGCAGGAATTCATTGTGGCTACTAACGAGCACGAAATATGCTTAATTATCATCTGAGCTGGCTCGACAGGTCAAACCAGGGGTGCGTAGCGGGTGATGAGTGCTCATCGAGCCGCGCACTGGGCGGAACGTGGAAGGCGAGCGAGATGTGACGTCACCCATGTCAGTCGAACAGCACACAACAAAGAAATCGGCCATGGGCTAGCATACTGTTGTGATAGGAGATGTGCCGATGAGGACGGCTTAGTGAACGGTCCATCCGAGTCGGGAGTCGTGAACGTTTGTCGGAACCAGGCCAGCAGATTCGCCGAACTGACGTTTACCAATATTGCCACCAAAACTTTCCATGATGCTCATCTACCACCTGAAGTAGGCGTTGCCTTTATAAAGTTGAATGCCTTCCCCTATATCTTGAAGTTGATGAGATGATACCCTTATTATGCGTTCACCTCATCTCATTGGTTCAGATGCACTTAGAAGTTCTGTCACAATGCCAACCGGTGTGTGATAAGTTCTCGTTCACCATACATGCGAGAGAGCACTACGAGTCTACGCGCAAACCTTGTTGCACGGGCTTCGGTAGAGACCGATACGGCCGAACCTATTGAGATCTCTCTTCTTTCTCCAGAATCTCCATTCTACAGAGAAAAAATTGCCCCATGTCTCCTCAAACATCCAGAATCACTTTAACCCCCGCCGTGAAACCCGAGAAGTTTGCGGTGAATGTTACTGCAGAACATTATTACAACGCCCGCTTTTTACCAAAGGCTAAATAAAGCCGCGACGTGAGGCCTCATCAGGCCACCACTACATCCCAAATGTCTGCCACGCAGCTTGTCGCACTGCTGACGTCGCCCGGCTTCTCAGCTGTGCCAGCAAATTAGGCGCTGAACTTGCAGCTGGCGACGTCAGCGCCGCTGGAACAGCTGGTGGCAGCCGCTCTGTCGCACCCCCGGCGTCGGGAAGATCGCTGGCTGATGGCGACGGTTGGGCAGTAGTGGGGTGGGTGGGTGGGACCACGGCCGGCGCCGGCCCCCTCTCTGCCAGGCAGCCCAACACCCGCGACGCCCCTGTCGAGTGACTAGGCGAGCGTTGGAGAAGATAGAGCGACACGGGGCGGTCAGGCGCGTCCGCGAGACCAAGCAGGCGCGCTGTGCAGACCAGGAGCAGGTGACGGCAGACGATAGACTGCATGGAGCTGACCATGGGACAGTCTTCTTCTTCAGTCCATCCGTGGGACCACAAGCGCCTCTTGCGCTGCCATTTTAAGGCGGCGCGGCTGCAGCAGCTCCCCTTTCCCCGCGCAGAATGAAGTGCGCTGGGGGACCGGGACCCGTTCGGGCCTATTTATTTCAAGGGTAGCATGCCATCTGCGGTCCATGCTGCAGACCGTGGCCGGACGCATACACCTCAGTTATCGTCCCACCACAGTGTGTTCAGCGGGGGCGAAGTTCCCTTAAGTGGGGGGCTGAATGTATGTATTTTTATAATATATTTTTATATTTATAGGATATATTTATGATATATATATATATATATATATATTCATAATATTGATTAGTATATATTTATGTCAAATATATTTATAACTATGTATTTATTCAGCCTGAAATATAGAATATATTTCAGGCTGAGCCCTGAAAATGATCAAACCTTTCCTCAAAACTCACCAACAAACGCATTTTGAGAGATTAAGTTCATTTTTCTCTTAATGGGGGGGGGGGGGGGAGAAGGCGCTGGAGCCAAAGGGGAGGGGGGGGGGAGGTGGCAACTGAATAAGAGGCTCTACCTTTGGTGTCCAGTGTTCTTCTGCTCTAGTGTGTTCGCTCAACTTCCCACCTGGACATAGGCGAATCCTGGGGGGGGGGGGGGGGGGGCACGGGGCCATGCCCCCAAAACCTCTGAGAATATGTTTTGGCCCCCCGAACATTCCCAGAGCTTTATGAAAGCTTCGTCTTCTTACCGTCTGTTTTAACGTTAACTGTTTTAACCGTTTTGTTTTGACTTCTGTTTAAGATTCAAAAGCATTTCGGTGTTTTTTTCGGTTTTGAATGGTGTCCCTACTAGGTACTCGCGAGAGACATCATGCACTGAACTTCGGATCCCACACCAGCCAGCTGGCGACGAACGGTTGGCCCCCCCCCAAAAAAAAAGCAACTCCAGGCTAAATCCGCCCCTGCACCTGGAGTTGCTTTGTTATCTGTAGAGCTGATCAGGCTGTGTAGTCAATTCCCGAAGGCAATGCCATACGGTGATATCAAACTCAGAGCCAAATGTCCAGGCATTAGCAGTTAATATAAGGGTTGTGTAACAGTATATATTTCACAGATACCTATTTGCGTCAAAGTCTTTAAGAACTGTATGGGTGTCTGAATGAGGTGCAGGTTTCTTGCTTTGACGCGCTGTAGAGAGTCCTCGCACATTTGACTGTCACGTTTATATTTGCCTCTGTAGACAATAAAGGTGAACTAGGCAAACTTGGCGAACTTCGTGTTCTCGGTGTTTTTGCTCTCTGCTACGAGGGGGCGGCGGGTGAACTGTCGCTTCGGGCGGTCGGCACTGGGTTCGGAGGCGAAGTTTGAGGTATAAAGGGTGTGGGGTGCTTATTTGCCTGAATATCTTAGTTTTTTACTGGCGTTTACGTCAAGAGCACAAATGCGTGTTGGGTGATCCGTTCTGCGCAATGAAACCAAACATGGCTTAAAGTTATGTAATGGGGAACCAGCTTACCTGCGCAGGGGCCAGATTATAGTTATTAAACCAGCTATTTTTGAGCCTTAGTAGTGACCAGACCCAGATGAGGATTTGGCCAGATTTTCGCCATCTTAGGTGTGCTGTGATGATAATTTAATGGGCCTTTTGTCACAATTAAGTTATACTAAAATTCAGATTGCCTGTTACAGATGACAAAGACCTCTAGAGCACATGACATCTATTGTTATCAATTAAAAACCTAGTTTTTCTTTCCCTATTCTCTTCCACACTATTTGCCAAACCTAATTTTACTCCTTGCTTTGCCAAGCTGTCAAAAGTTGATTTCAATCCATCCTATAGCTTTCCTTCTGGAGTGAAGTATATATTATAAGTATATATATATATATATATATATGTATATATATATATGTATATATATAAGTATATATATATATATATAAAAGCATATTCAGTATATGGCAACAAGCACAAATCTGCATGCAATGAACATGGTTCATTATGACAAGTCTTTGCACCAGACTTTGTATTCAAATACTTGTGAACTTCATTTATTAGTTCTATAACAGCAGACTACAACTCAATTTTGTTCTTCCCACTTTATCAGTAAATTTTTTATAGTCAAGCTAGTTCCCATGATGTATGACAAAGTATGACACACATAGAAGATGCAATCTTCTAGATTCTATATGCTTTCTTGGCTCCATTATTTTTGGGTCTATACAACTCCATGCAACACAACAATACTCTGATAAATATCATTGGTTCTCAAAGATACATGACTCTGCCTTAGTATAATCTCTTCCAAATCTGAACCAAGAGCTATGCTTCACTTCTTGCAAGTCTCAAGAATTTGAATTATTGAATGCATTGTTGTGTAAAAGCTAGATTCTTATTGAAATCCTTTTGTCCTTGGAATGTATATTTAAGATATAATATGCTGCTTAATGCACATGTCAGCAGCCATGCTAACAGTCTGTTATTTGTTATATTGTTCTGATCCAATGAAATCCAGGGTTCCAGCCAATATGCTTGGATCCTTTCTGGCCTCAACTTACCCCCTTTTGTGTAAGTAACATAAACCTACTAGTATAAATTAGTACCATTTAAGTCAAGGACTTTTGGAGCCAAATCCAGTTCATATCTTTTCCAAGCTGGATGGTGCACAAACATGATACCACTGATTGGGAATGTTAAAATGTCTTAATGACTTGATATAAAGCAATCTGGTGAAGATGACCCTTGTGAGAACAAGCCACAGAAAAATTATGCTTGAAGCTTGCTTTTGCTGTTACTGATAAATCTAGTGAGCAACTTGTTTACTTTTTCCACTAGTGTAAAAATGTTTTCCTTGCAGCCTAGAATCCTGCTCTTTTTGGACAGTCCTGTAAATGGTAATAGCATTAACCCATGCAGTATAACTTATACAACCAACACCCACATGATCAGGACCTTGAGTTTGTGTAAAGGAAAGGAATAACCTGTGGTTTTCAAGTCATGCCGTATTAACTTATTGACAACTGAAAGACAAGGTGTATTGATATGTGTCAAGGAGGAATGAATTATTAGGAATCTGAAGTAAAAGATCCATCTCTGTCCAGTATGATTTTGCATCCAATTTCGGTCATATTAGTTTGCAGTTGTGTGGTCAAACATAGGCTGAGATTTGATGAGTGCAAAGAACATTGCTTTTCCTAGCTGCCTCCTGGTCTCAAGGTATCCAAATGTTTTGTCCTGGAATATACAATATCTCCAATCTGCCATCACCTTGTTCAAAATGTAAAACCATAGTAATTTGATACCTGTTATTCTTGAAAGGTCCAAAATTAAAGTTAGTAGACAAGCATTTGCACACTTGCTTTGCTTTGCTAAGTTATAAACAGTTTTGAATTATCTATCTTTTGCAGATTGATTCATGGCTCTAGCTACTGTGGTTGCTGTGATATGGCAGAAAGTGTAAAGAAACAGTTGGAAATGACCAACACCATCTTGCTGGCTCATGCATGCCTGACACACAGCACGCAGTATGGAAATTTACATCTAGTGTCCATTTGATTCCCTGTCAATACATCCTACTGCTGAGTGTGTCTGTGCTTTGGGTGCTGTGATGGGACACAACATGTATAAACACATTGAAGAGAGCAAGTCCAACTAGCTGGCTCATGTGTGGCCAACAAATGGAGCATGTCATCCCACACTTGTGACACCTTGGAATTGCCTGTTCAATGGACAGTCACAGCACGCCAGTCCCGCGTCGCTATGTGCCCTTGGTGCGGAAATCTCGCCTAAAACGTAGAGATCGACGAAATCCGCAAGATGTCAAAACATACTACTCTCGGCGTACTTTATTCGCTGGGTGCCGGGACATCGCCAGCCTTCAGGCCGTCCAATCTGGTCCGTGATAGCCTGTGCCGGGGGTCCCAAAGGTCACTCAGGGCCCAGCGGGAGGATATATCCAATCGGTGGTGGAATTTTCATTTCGGTTGTGACTTATCCAGTTTAGTTAGTGTTCATTTTGATCATCTGTAGTTCAATTTTTGTCATCAGTTAATATAGATCCACCAAGAAATCAACCCAGCCGCAAGCAACGTGTACGGGGACTATTTTGACCCTTAACGCCAGAGGACGCTGAGGAGAACCTGTCAGCATCGATCCGAGGCGGTGTCAAATAGCCGTTATGCGGTACATTAGTCTGGGCCCATTTGCGAGCGAAATATTGCAAAATGTTATGGACGAAAGGGTCAGGAAGAAGCAGAATGAATCTGCCATCACGTTCATATAGTTCTTCACACTCAGTTCCGAACAGTTTTGATGGTAACAGTTAGTATTCGGCGCCGAGTTTTAAAACTTGGCTGCTTGTAACTTGTCTTCAAATTTGCAGCGCAACCGTGCGTCGCACAATCTCACCACACACAATTAAATTGTAGTTGAACTCATTGCTAATGTTGGGAAGCAAAATCCACGTCTCTATCTGCACTGCGTGCCGAGATATGACCAAACACGTCAAAATTCGTCAAAAACGGTCAATTTCATCTTGCAACACGCGTGCACGTGCCACGCACCACATGGTACCACAAACTTACACCAGTTGGATTGCCCACGCAATTGTCTATCTGGCTGCGTAAGCTTCATGTCGCTCCGGCCCGTGGTCAAGATACGGTCTCAGGGGTGGATGCGTGTCGGGCCATCGGCTGGTGATCGCGAAATGGCGTTGCGCGAGTTAAACCGATGAGGGATTTTTCGCCGGTTTTTCGCCCACCACGCCCTCATTTTTGCGAAATGCGGGACTTTGACGTGACACTGCCATACTGGGGCATGAGTCCTTGGCCGCGTGAAAATCTCATGACAAAATTGTCGACGGTTTAGCCTGTGCGCGATCCCAAACATTGATGACGGACTCACACGCGCACGCACGCGCGCGCACGCACGCACGCACGCACGCATATATATATATATATATATATATATATATATATATATATATATATAGATTAAGTGTATTGTTTGTTGACCACCTTATGAAAGAATCTTGATCAGTGGTCTATGTTTCAGCGATGTTCCGGTGTGCGTCCTCGAGCATTTTGCGCCAGGTTTCTCAGGCCAACAAATATGGCCATGGGATCAGGTTAGTGAGCTGTGTGATCGGGTCAGCATGTCAGTCCACCCGGGACTGAGCAACAACCGTGCGTCAGGCGCTCTCCGAATCTCGACTTGTTCTGCTCTAAAGCAGGAACTTGCCACATCAAAAGTACACGAAGCTCTCGGAAATTACCGTCCTAAATGCATTGAATGGTCGGAAATTGGATGTGATATCTGTCCATCTCTATGGCTCCGTTGATTACAGCATCAGGTGCTGTAATCAACGGAAGCTGTGAAGGCAGATCTCCTGCCTTCTGATTCGCCCACCCTTCGTATGGTGGGTTCGAACCGCTTTGGGTGCTCGTTATTTGCCCGTGACTGGAGTAGCTTGCGGCCGTCGTTTAGCGGGCGTACTGAAGGTCAGGTGAAGCTAGAGCACAGGGCAAACCGTGCCGAGCGTTGCGGCGCGTTTAACTTTCCACGCAAAATCTATCGTTGACCCTGAATTCCCATGATCGGATGCTGGCGTGAGAGCTCACACAACACGCACTACTGGGCGTAGGTGCTGATCCCAGAATTCAATTAAAAAAGGTTTTAGCCAAGCCTCGAAATGCAACAGATACATCCCGGTTGTTGTATAAGTATAAGCGAGATGTACGTTAGCTTAAAGTTAAACTGCATTGCGTTGCGTATTAATTCCGCGCGTTTCAGTATCCGATGGACCTGCTTTTGACTGAAATACCCGTGCGATGAACGAGAGCTTCATGCTTCTTGGTGATTTTATGCCTTATGTGCAGCAACATAGAACATGGCTGTCGTGTTGTCACCCTAGATTGGCCTGACTTTCTACAATACCCCTTTTCGCTGATTTCGTAGTTTTACACCCATTTCTGTACTCCGCACGTCGGTTTTGTTAGTAGTGGGTGTCATCGACAGATGGCAACAGACGGCGGCGGCCGGCCTCAACAACACGATGTCGCCGGCGGAGCTGCGCGAGCGTCAGGCTGTGACCACCTTCGACACGGCCAAGATGACCCACCTGCTGGACCACGACAACCACGATATGCGCGACCGCTTCCGACGCTACCAGCAGGACCCGGCCAGCTACATGAAGCCCAAGTAGGTGGTGCTGATGACGAAGGATGGCGTTGGCCCCCCTGGCTACATCCCTGGAGGAAGCCGAGACTGCAGCGGTGGCGGCACCGCTGGCGACACCGGTGTAAACGTGGATGGCGTGTCCCCCACAGCTTTCATGGAGCGTGGGACTGTCACCACATTCTCAAAGAGACCCAAATATTTCGGCGCTTGAACACACGTTCTGGTGAAGGAAGTAAAAGAACAAATGCTCACACAGAACACCGAATATGTGCACTCGGTATCATTTTTGCAACGTCGTGTTAATAGCGATCCCATCACCCTGTCCGCGAATCCTCCCAATAGGAAGCTCCTCGGACACCAAACATGGCGTGCGCTCGCCGCCCGACCCCAACCTGAGCCTCGGCGATTATCTGTGACCATGCGTGACGTCACGAGTGTCCGTGACCTGACGCAACCAGTGTTCCTCAGTGTGACCGTTTGTGACCCCGCCCCACCCTCTGCAATCCAGTGTGGCATCCCGCGACCCTGGACGACCGTGCTGACCTGTGTGACCTGATGTAACCCTGTGCCATGATCCATGATCCCGCGCGACCGTTCGTAACCTGGTGGGACTCAGTCTACGACTGCGAACTTATGCGGCGTCCGCGACCGTGTGCCCTGACCTTGCGCTGCGGGCCGTGACACAGGTACAACATCAGCCTGGAGGAGGAGCGGGAGGTGGCACTGCAGCGGCTCAAGGCCGTCTGCGATAACGACTTCATATCCGTGCTGAACTTCAACGACAACCCGTACAAGATCTTCGCCGCCCACGAGCTGGTCGGCATCATAGACCCGAGCACGTGCACCAAGATGACGGTGCAGTTCAATCTGTTCGGCGGCACTGTCCTGAAGCTGGGCACGGCGCGTCACCACGACAAGCTGCTCAAGGTCGGGCGCGTCACAGAGGAGGAGGGAGGGGCTGTGGTAGTGGATAGATAATGCTATGCATATATATATATATATATATATATATATATATATATATATTCATCTTTGCGATTTGACTATGCTGCACCCGTAAAGACAGCGTATGGAAACATTGGTAAGAGTACATATTGATGTTTTCAATGAAAGGTATAGTTTTACGGAATGATTGAGACGGGGCATTGTTATCACGGATGGAATTATTGTTCAGGCTTCCGTCCTCGTCCTGATAAGGGGCAATGCCCTTCCCGGGTAGTTAAGTGGCAGAGCGCTGGGTTTGATAGTGGGAAGACGCTGCTCAAATTCTAGCAATTAGAAAATTCTGGTCTTGGCGCGTATTTGGCTGAAAGCCAACTATCATCTAGCCCTTCTCAGGACTAAGTAATACGTGGCGACAGCTGGAAGTTATCTAACCGAAGCATGGTCTACATCCAGTTACACTATACGAGGACGATAGTTCCGAACATTTAGTCCATCCGTAATGCGATGGAGGGTCTTTGGTCATGACATGTAACATGCCGTGCTCTCCAGGGCATCGATAATCTGAACGACGTCGGCTGCTTCGGTCTGACGGAGCTGGGCTACGGAAACAACGCCGTGGAAATGGAGACGACGGCCACGTACGACCCGGCGACAGGTGGGTGACGGTTGCTGTCACCTGAGGTGCACGGCGGTGTCACACAGTGGCGTGACAGGTTCGCCAGTGACGGGCGGTGGCCTGCAGGTCCGCCAGTGACGGACGGTGGCCTGAAGGTCCGCCAGTGACGGACGGTGGCCTACAGGTCCGCCAGTGACGGACGGTGGCCTGCGGGTCCGCCAGTGACAGACCGTGGCCGGCAGGTCCGCCAGTGACGAACGGTGGCCGGCAGGTCCGCCAGTGACGGGCAGTGGCCTGCAGGTCCGCCAGTGACGGGCGGTGGCCTGCAGGTCCGTCAGTGACGGATGGTGGCCTGCGCTGCTCTGTTTGGTGGAAGTGATGCCTGTTGTGGGCTAACTGGCAGGTGGTCTTTGCCATAGCGTGGATGAGTAAGAGCACCGACTTCTTACCGTCAAGTGTGATGACGTAACCGGCCCGAACAAGCTCGCCCGGCGCCCTGTTGCCCCCGGGGTCATCAGGGCCACACCCTCTGTCACGTTTGACGGCCGGACAGACCGTTCTGATGGGTGCACGGGGCAGGCAGTGGATTCACGTCTGTTGTCAGATAGCCAGGAGTGCCCTTCAAGGCGTACACTCTGTAATGACTCAGCGGCCGCCTGATTGCGGCCGACCTGTTCACCGAGGAGCGGACCTCGTTGGCGTGAAGCCAGGCCGCTGCCGGACAGTCTCATCCCGATGGGGCCGGGCCGATCGCAGGCACCCGAGGGCCGCTCAAGCTGTCATATTGGCAGTCGGGCCCCGAGCGGCCGGTTACAGGCCGGTCCGGCCGGGCTATTTGCGGGGAGCGGGCGCGAGCGCGCCGGGCGCCGATGGACGGCACCTGGCGCGCTCACCGGCCGTCACCACAGCTGGCCGGACGGCAGGATGGCCAGCGGACGGCGGGGACCACCGGTACGGCGGCGGCTTCGGTACGGGAGGGGTATGGCTAGACTGCCGGCTCCCGCTGGCAGGCACGGGTGGCTGGCGTGTAACGCCCTGCCCCCCTCTCCCCCCCCCCTGCCGGAAAAGCTCTTGACATTGGAGCGTATCCTCACTACAGCGGTGTGGTCGGAGAGTGAGATAAGGCCTGGGTTGGTTGGCGGTGGGGAGGGAGGGAAGAGGTGTGTGTGTGCGGGGGGGGGGGAGACGAAAGTGAAAGGTGGGGAGGCAGCAACAACGTTTTTTCGTTATGATTCTGAGTGACATGACTGGTGGATAACGTGCTCGCCCATGGTACTGCTGTGTCTCAGGGTGATTGAAATGCTCATGCACTTAATGTTGCACTATAATCCCACTGGACTGAGCAAGAGAGTGTAGCTAATGATAGCCAGAATACGAAGAACTTGAGCTAAGTTTCATCTTAGTAGTCGTTTCGGATCAAACGAAAACACTTCATCACGGGCGTATGCTCAGGTATCAGCTTTGTGTCGCATATGCATCACTCCATATTTAATAGCCTCGTTTCTTCCAAGCCTGTGAACCTGTCCGGGACCTGGGACGGGTTTTCACGCAGTTCCCGTGTAACGATCCCGTCCGCGCTTCAGACGAGTTTGTCGTGAACTCGCCGACCACGCTGGCGCAGAAGTACTGGATCACGAACGGCGCCATCCACGCCAAGTGGATCGTGGTGTTCGCCCACCTGCACTTGAAGGGCACCAACCACGGTATCCACGGCTTCCTCGTGCGTATCCGTGACGACAACATGAAGGTGAGCCGGAGGGTTGCAGCGCCAGCTTGGCAGTAACGTGTAAGTGTTTGTTTCGAGTCACATTTTTTATATCTCGATTTTTTGGGGTCGATGGACGGGGACTGCTCTGACGACCCAAAGCGAGGCGGTGCTGTCGGGTTCGGCCACAGGACCGAAGGGGCTTCAGAAGCAGGTCACGGCCGAGAGCCGGAATATGCAATTTCGAAACGTCAGTACTTTAAGTAGATGCCAGACATCGGCGAGCTACTTCTTAGTCTCAATGCTGAGCAGACAGCCAAAATCAGAAAGACTAGCGAGGACAGAAAAAGCTTATCAAATGTACCTATGCCAAGGTCTTTGACAACACTTGCATATATATATATATATATATATATATATATATATATATATATATATGCATATACATATACATATACATATACATATACATATATACATGCCCTCACTCGCAGTTGAAGCCAACTCGTCGTTTATAGACCCACTGTGAACCGTCAATGCTGTGTCTATCATGTAACACTTGGCATGTCTGATGCATGTATTCATGTATACACAGATTTATCGATCGACGCATGTGCCGCCAATGTACGCACATCCGACGGCAGCATCCCTCCGCTCGTGCGCCAGGTGCTGCCTGGCGTGACCGTCGAGGACATGGGCATCAAGATCGGCCTGAACGGCGTCGACAACGCCAAGCTATCGTTCGACCACGTGCGCATCCCGCGCGAGCACCTGCTCAACAAGCACTCGGACGTGACGCCGGAGGGCGAGTTCCACTCGTCGATCGAGGGCGCCCGCCAGCGCTTCCTCACCGTGGCCGACCAGCTGCTGTCCGGCCGCATCTGCATCGCCGCCATGTCTGTGGTGAGGAGGCCCGCCCGGTGCCCGGCGCTGTGCCCGGTGCCAGCGCCATGCTGCGGGTGCGCTGGAGAGGCCCTGCTCTCGGCGCAGCTGGCGTGTTGTTGCTGGCTGTCGAGGTGGTGAGACAGCTTGTATCGCGCTGTCTGCGAGCACGGAACGTGAAGACGCAGTTATTTGTAGCGGCTCATGGCGACTTTCGTCACTATAGATGTCGTGTTATGGTTGCCGCGTGCCTGCCATCGCGCCCTGCCTCGTCGCCACGTCCGTGTTGAGACCCCTGTGCTGGGTTCGGCGCCGCCGCTGCGCCCGAACGACCCATCCGCGGCTGCTGTCCGGCGGCGGACGCCTGCGACGCTGACTGTCTCATGCCGCCGCGCGCCCCTCCGACCATCTAACACCGCGCGCGCCTCCCACGCGCGCCCCGCCTCGGCAGGGAGGCTCGAAGGCGTGTCTGGCCATTGCCGCCCGGTACGCGGCCACGCGGCTGACGGTGGGGCCGCGCGGCAAGTCCGACATGCCCATCCTCAGCTACCAGCTGCAGCAGCGCGCCCTGCTGCCGCTCATCGCGCAGACGTACGCCATCAACCTGGCCGTCGACTACGTCAAGGTGGGCGCGCGACGCCAGCGACCCTGGCGGCCGCGCCGGCAGGCTGGCGCTAGCTGAGCCCGGGGGCCGTTGGTCTGGCGTTTGTTGGCTTGAGCCGAGGGACTTGGCGTGGTGCACAGCTGTGAAGATAAGGCTGATGTTTCGTTGTTTGGATAGACCAGGCCGCCAACACAGCTGCTGAAGGTGATCCTCGGAGAAAGCGGATGTGCTAATATTTAGACGGAGTAGATTAAGGACGCCGGTAAGCAGTTACCCATGGAGGAGCATATAGCAAGTGGCCTGACTGGGTTGACAGCAGCGCTGAGTCCGGCACGCGCCTCTCGGGGCGACTTGACCAGCCCGAGAGCGGTCGCCACGTCCGCCGGTCGGGCCGGCCGCGGTCCGCTTCCCGCGCCAGCCGCGTGACCGACCTCGCCCCCGCCCGCCCCGGCAGGAGCGCTGGTCGGAACAGCCGGAGGACGGCTCGCAGCACGCCGACATCGTCACCATGTGCTGCGCGATCAAGCCCGTCGCCTCGTGGCTGTTCGAGCGCGTGGTGACCACGTGCCGCGAGCGCTGCGGCGGCGCCGGCTACCTCGCCTGCAACCGCTTCGGCGTCTTCATGGGCTCGGCGCACGCCGCCATGACGGCCGAGGGCGACAACTCCGTCCTCATGCAGAAGGTGACGTCAATGGGCACAATGTTTGGGATGGGACTCGTTTAGCGCCAGGCTTTCAAGACATCGGTCCTCGCCCCACGTGTACGAACTGGTGTTGCTTCTCAATGACTGTCTTTGTGCTGGGTGTGCGGTTCCTTGCCCGTATCGATTCCTCTTTTCCTTTTCCGAAGTTTGTGTTCAGTGTTGCAAGGTACGTAGTCACTTAAGGCATCGTCGACTAACGAAATAATTGGTGGAAACGAAAAGAGCCTTAGCTTCAGTGTTGCAAGGTACGTAGTCACTTAAGGCATCGTCGACTAACGAAATAATTGGTGGAAACGAGAAGAGCCTTAGCTCCTGCTTTTTTGTTGTTGTGGTTGACATGAGTGCTGCCATTGTCGTCATTGGGTTTAACGACGTACCCATCTGCTGAGACTGTATAGCGTCATCTGCCTCTCTCTGTGGCAGGACGGCTGAGTGCCACGGGGAATCGAACCCCATACCTCTGTTTCTCAGACTGAGCGCTTCTTTTCAAAATACCCCATCTTTAGCGTTTAATATACCCTCTTGAATTGTTGGGTTTTGTCATAATATGTACCGATGATGGTTTGATATCGTCGTTCAGCCAGCACCTTCAGGCATATCGGAGTCTGGTTCTTTTCGACATAAGACTTCAGAATGCAAGAATTTCTCGTGTGTGGAAGTAGACGTTGCATTGGCGGCCAGACACTTTGTAGTCAGCCGGCTGCACGGGCGACCGGAGCACGTCTGGGCGGGCGTAGCCTGTGGTGCGGTGCCCAGCGTCCGTGACGTTTGATCACGCCGCTGCTTTCCGGGTGAGTCAGCCCCGCGTGCGCTGCGGGGCGTCGCCGTAACGGACGGGATGACTAAGTTGAGCCCCGTGTCGGGTATTGATTATACGTCGCCTGTAGTGCCGCGCTCTGGCACCTGTGAATATTTGAGGCGCCGGGTCTGCGCGAGGTTTATGGCGGCGCTGGATAGGTGCGGTGCGTCGACCACCTGGCGTTGTTGCCATCCGTTGTCGACCGCCCATCGTTATTGCCGCCGTGCGCGGCCGACCGGCGGCAGAAGTGGACATTGGATTTGTGACGATGTATTGCTATGGGACATATTTTAGTCCCATCTGGCCTTCCCAACCGAAGAATTGGTCGGGCCTTGTACGCAAGCACCTGTGAATGCCCGCTCCGTTCAGGTGAATGCAGTCTTGCGTCATGCTTGCCTGTTTCCAATCGCGCTGATTCCGTGTTTCCTGCTCGGAAAACACATTGTGAACGGTGTGCACATTTACGGACTGGCTGGCCCGCTGACGGGCTGTAGTTGGGTCAGACGATGATTGGCTGGCCCGCTGACGAGCTGTAGTCGGGTCAGGCGATGGTAGGCTAGCCCGCTGACGAGCTGTAGTCGGGTCAGGCGATGACTGGCTGGCCCGCTGACGGGCTGTAGTTGGGTCAGACGATGATTGGCTGGCCCGCTGACGAGCTGTAGTCGGGTCAGGCGATGGTAGGCTAGCCCGCTGACGGGCTGTAGTCGGGTCAGGCGATGACTGGCTGGCCCGCTGACGGGCTGTAGTTGGGTCAGACGATGATTGGCTGGCCCGCTGACAGGCTGGGGTTGGGTCAGGCGATGACTGGCTGGCCCGCTGACGAGCTGTAGTCGGGTCAGGCGATGATTGGCTAGCCCGCTGACGGGCTGTAGTCGGGTCAGGCGATGACTGGCTGGCCCGCTGACGGGCTGTAGTTGGGTCAGGCGATGATTGGCTAGCCCGCTGACAGGCTGGGGTTGGGTCAGGCGATGACTGGCTGGCCCGCTGACGGGCTGTAGTCGGGTCAGGCGATGACTGGCTGGCCCGCTGACGGGCTGTAGTTGGGTCAGGCGATGGTAGGCTAGCCCGCTGACGAGCTGTAGTCGGGTCAGGCGATGGTAGGCTAGCCCGCTGACGAGCTGTAGTCGGGTCAGGCGATGGTAGGCTAGCCCGCTGACGAGCTGTAGTCGGGTCAGGCGATGACTGGCTGGCCCGCTGACGAGCTGTAGTCGGGTCAGGCGATGACTGGCTGGCCCGCTGACGGGCTGTAGTTGGGTCAGACGATGATTGGCTGGCCCGCTGACAGGCTGGGGTTGGGTCAGGCGATGGTAGGCTAGCCCGCTGACGAGCTGTAGTCGGGTCAGGCGATGGTAGGCTAGCCCGCTGACGAGCTGTAGTCGGGTCAGGCGATGACTGGCTGGCCCGCTGACGGGCTGTAGTTGGGTCAGGCGATGATTGGCTGGCCCGCTGACGGGCTGTAGTCGGGTCAGGCGATGGTAGGCTAGCCCGCTGACGAGCTGTAGTCGGGTCAGGCGATGACTGGCTGGCCCGCTGACGGGCTGTAGTTTGGCCGGACGGTGCCTGGCTGACGGGCTGTAGTTGGGCCAGATGATGTCTGGCTTACGGGCCGTAGTTGGGTCAGGCGATGTTTTGGTGCCGCTCACGACATCCAGCGATCAATACTAAATTGATCGTGTCTGTCGAACGGGGCCGCAGTCCGGCCGGCTGGCGGACGAAGGGACGTGCCGGGATCGGCGGATTTTGAGTTTGAAGTCATTTGAGTGACTCTTCTCACGCCACTTCACTACCGTGTGTGTTTAGTGTTGGTGCTAGTGTCTGCTGCGCTTTTGAACTCTGGCTGTCGCATTCAAAGGTTTCAAAAGTCTTGTTGGAGTGAAGATGGCACTCCGTTTTATGCGGGTTTAAGAAAGAAAAGTCCTCATCGCCTGGTTTTTGGCATTTTGAGTTGGAAGTTCTTATGTTGAGTTAACGACTTTCAATATATGAAGAGGTACTGGTTGAGCGATGTTGTAATGCCACATCACGGTTACATTTAGAACCGTCAATGCAGTCGTTATGCAGCATTATAACGTCGTTTAACCACTATCCCGGGACATTTCGAAGTTTGTCAACTCAACACAAGAACTTTCAATCTATATTGTATGCGGGTATGTTGTTTTCCAGCATGTTTGTGATGAAAAATATGTATGACGACGTCACTTTGAAAACGGGACGCACCATTGTATTGCGTGAAATCATGAGCTCACCGATATCCCACGTTCTTTATGTCTGTGTTGTGCACGAGACCGTCCAAGCGATCATGCCCACAAGCTACCCACCGAGGTGAGGAAAACCAGCTTTCAATAGCGTTATTGCATTACGTCACGTGACGAACCGGCATTCTGCCCGATATGGCGGCCCGGCAACATCGGCGCGTGCAACTGGTGCCTGCCCCACGGGCCGCTCCCACTCCCCGGAGCCGGCTGCCTGCCGGCGGCTCCGTATCGAGCGCGGCCCGGCCCCGGCCCCGGCTCGGCTCGGCTCGGCTCGCGTGCGCCCTCGGCACGGTCGGCGTGCGCTGACGAAGGCCGGCCGCTGCGAACCGCTGCCGCCTGCCGGCCGGTGGCGGCGCGGCGCGCTGCTGGCGGTAGGAGGGGGACTCGCTAGCGGCCTCTCAAGACTGGTTCTTGGCTGTCCTGCTTTGTCGCTTCGTGCTGGCCCCTGGCTGGCGCCGTGGCGCCGTTCGGCTGACTGCTTCAAGGAAGTGGTGTGGGGCTCTTTTCAGTACGCTCGGGGCCACGCAACAGGCTCAAATCGGCCGGGTGTAATGGGCAATTGAGGGTTGTTCAACTGAGTGGATGGTGGTGGCTGACGGCTGCAGTTATTTATGTCATGCGATGCCGATTAGAAGGGGGCGTAGGCGGAGAAGAGACGGTGTCAGTGACTCATGTGCTGGGCGTATAAGCGTTGAAAAGATGTTTGCCATGCACGTACTTGGTTAGAACCCCCATGGGCGCAGCAGGGGGATGCCTGTCAGCATGTCATTTTTGCTCCCCGGGACCTGGCGAGAAGTCATCGGCCTGAGCAGCCATGCTGTGGTACGAGGCGAGGAGGGGTGGCGATTGTGCGGTTTTCTGACGTGCAGGCACCGCGCCCATCATCTTCGGTGCTGTGCACCAGGCCGGGGCCGAGGGTCAGGGGTCACAGCGGTGGCCCCAGCCCCGGCCCTACCCTGGTGCCCTCGTCTACCCTGTGAGGGCACCGCGGCCGGCCGATCCGGAGTTCGGCCGGCCGCCCGGCGGTCGGGAGAGGCGACCACGATCCGTCGTTTGATTACCCGTGCCGCTGACCCGGTTACGCCGCTTGTTTACCCTGCCCCCCCCCCCCCCCCGGCGGTCAGCTGTCTCCCCGGGGCGGCCGGCCGGGGTGAGGGGTGAGGGACCCGCTGACTGGTCCGACCTTGGCTGCAGCGATACGGCTGATTTAGTCGGACCCGGATCAGTGTGGCCAGATATGCGGTCCGTTGCCGCGGTCACGGTGCAGCTATTGGCAGTTTTCTATGTGGGGCAAACCACCCAAGTTCGATAGCGCCTTTCACTTTGGTGCGGGCGATTTCGGTCATTTCAGGGAGAAGTTGTCGCCGATATGGAGCGCTCTTTGTGCTGTCTCTCCAGCTGTCAGCACTTAACATTGATATTAACAAACTGGATTCGAAATCGGCCGCTGCATTGATTTGCCCCGGTTGCGACATTAGATGACACTAAACGGACTAAACCAGGAATTGTCTGCAAAGTCGGCACGCACTAAGCGGGTTATGATCTATTCTGAGAAGTTGTAACCGGCCGCACTGCAAATGGCTGTAGGGAGTCGCCGCTACCTCACCTCTTCCAGCTGGCGAGGAGACGGCGGGTGTAGCCGGCCGTGGCCAGTTCGGCTGGCTCCTCGCGCAGATTAGCCGTTGCCACCCGCCGCCCATCCGGTTCTTGGTACCGCCTGCGCTCCGTGGTCCTGGCTCGCCCTGGTCTGGCGAGTGGTCAGGGACCGTCTGACGGTGGTCTGGTGCGAAGTGGTCTGAGTCGGCCTGCCGTGCCTTGACCTGACCTGACCCGCCCCGACCTGATGCGGCAGGTGGCCAAGGAGTGGCTGGCCGTTTACAGGTGCGACCTGACCTGACCCGGCCTGCCGTACCCTGAACTGACCTGACCTGACCTGACCTGTCCGACAGGTGGCCAAGGAGCGTCTGGTCTGTGCCGGTGTGACCTGACCTGACCTGACCTGACCCGTCCGGCAGGTGGCCAAGGAGCGTCTGGCCGTGTTCCGGCCGGCGAAGCCGGAGCCGTTCGAGGTGGACCTGGCCGACACGGCGTCCCTGCACAAGCTGCTGGCCGCGCGGGAGAACCTCACCTTCGGCCAGCTGGGCATGAAGCTCATGAAGGTAGGGGCGACGCGGACGGACCGGCGGCCGCGACCCCCTGTGGAACTAAGGGGAACAGCGCGCCGTGCTGCTGACATGTGACTGACGCTCTTTTGAACTTTGGGAAACAAAGCAGCACACTGCTGGCACGTGACCGGTGCTCTTCAGAACTAAAGGAATCACAACCTTACTCGAAAAGACACCGGAGCGTCTGGGAGAGTCGCTCAGCCGTCCCCAGTGGTGCCTGATTGTACTCGAGTTGTGCGCGCGCGCATGCGTTAACCCGGCTAGGCGTGGACGGGACGTGGACCGGGTTCGTTTCGGGTTTCTCGACACAGGATTCTCCGGTCGGGCAGGACGGGCCGGTTCGGCATTTGGATACCGCGGTCCCGTGACCCGGCTGTGCCCTGACCCACCCCGGTCCCGCCCCTGTTTCAGATGGGCAGGACGGCGTGCTCGATGGCTGGATGCTGCGGTGGCCTGACCCGGCTGTGCCCTGACCCACCCCTGCCCCGCCCCTCTTTCAGGCGGTCAAGGCGGGCCTGTTCGACAGCTGGATGCTGCGGTCGCCTGACCCGACTGTGCCCTGACCCACCCCTGCCCGTCCCCTGTTTCAGGGCGGGCAAGGCGGGCCTGTTCGACAGCTGGATGCTGCGGTCCCCTGACCTGACTGTGCCCTGACCCACCCCTGCCCGTCCCTGTTTCAGGCGGGCAAGGCGGGCCTGTTCGACAGCTGGATGCTGCGCGAGTCTGACCTGGTGCAGGCGGCGGCGCGTTCTTACGCCGACCGGCTGGTCTCGGAGCGTTTCGCGCAGGTGATCGGCAAGCACGCCGACCCGGCGCTGGCGCCCGTGCTGCAGCAGCTGTACCATCTCCACCTGCTCACCATCGTGGAGGCCAACCTGGGCCACCTGGTCACCACCGGGCTGCTCCACCCCAAGGCGAGTCGGACGGCGGTGACCACGCGGGATCGGGCGGCGCCGCTGGCTGGGATCGGTGGGGTAGCTGCTGTCAGCGGGTGCGCAGGCGGTGACTGATGACCGCTGATCCAGCGAGTTGATGTGAGCTTATTGTTGCGTGTCTAGTTTATGTTGTGCATTCCGCCGCTCGGTCATGCGGGCGTCGACGGCTGCAGCCGGGCGCGGCGGCAGCCGTGGGGCGTCCAGCTCGGACAAGGCGTGCAGGTCAGGCCGCCTGTCAGGGAGGTCCGTGACGCTGCCTGACCCGGGCAGGGTCGGGGTAAGCCGCGACGAACGCAACGCGGTGCGACGTGCGGGGCTGCGCTTGTAAACAGACGGTCGATAGTGGAGCGCGCACCGCGCAGCCATCCAACCCGATCCCGCAGATGTTCAGGGTGCGAAAAAGAAAGATCACACTTGTGCCTGACCTCAGTGCGCAGTTGCCTGTTTTTGTTTAAGTAAGCTTTCTGCGATGGTGGCAGCAGCGAGGCTCGCTTCTAACGGAGATAGCGCCTTTTAGAAAGCACAACTGCGTTTCACAACCAATTGCGGCTCGGTGCGCGTCGATGGCACAAGCGCGAAAGCACGCGGGCGGGGCGCGGCGCGATCCACATCGCGTGCCGCTGATCGGGATCGTCGCGTACCGGCCGCGGCGGGGAGCACGGCGTACGTGCTCTGAGCGACGCTGCGACGCGTCGGACCGTCGCTCGGGCGCGGGCGGCGCCGCGCGGCCGCCGACGCCGGCGCTGTTTGCTCTGCTCGCGCGGAGCGGTCGGCCGTCCGTCAGACGGACAAGCCGACGGGCCGGGGTCGTGGCGCGACGGCCGCCAAGGTCGCCAGAGGGCCGCGCAGTACACGCACCGGTCCGATGGCCGGGTCGGGGTACGCTCTCGGCGCGGAGCGGTCACCGGACACGCCGGCAGCCGCGGCCGCCTCCCGGCCGGGCTCGCTTACACAATCGGCTGCCAGAGGCCACGCGGCCGGCGGTGAGTTGTTGATGCGCCGGTGACGGGGTACGACGGCCGCATTGCTGCGCCACGGCCGGAGATGTTACGCCACGGCGCGGTTGCACCACCCGGGCAGGTGCCATTTTCGGCGGCCCCGGATTATATGCGTCGCCACCGGACCGGTTATTGTCGGTCCAATTGCCCGCTGCGCCGTTGTTGTTTTTTATCTGGATGCTGACAATGTTGCCTGACAGCTTCGGTGCTGGTTCGGCGCCGACGCCTCGTGACCGCGGTCAGCTGGGTCCATCCCTCCATCAACCCTGCATGACCTCGTCATCCACAAATCCGTGTGGGCGGACGTGCCGCCGGCGCGTCCTCCGCGTGTCTGGAGTGAGCCCTGCACTGCGCGGGGCCCGCCACCCGCTGTTGTGCACGGGGAGAGCTCGGCGGCGTCCGCACTGACCCGAACGGCGGCTGCTGACCGCTGGTTCTTCCGAACCCCGGGCGCTCGCTCCGGTCGGTGGGCGTCGTTCCTGAACACCCGGCACACAGTCAGGACGTGAAGCCACCGATGTATGGCTGGGATGCTGCGCCGTACGTCAGCGGCTCACACAATCGATGTCAACCCGTGGCGTTTGCGAAGCACCGTCGCATAGGTCAGGGACGCGACATTTCTCGTCCCGCCCGTCATGTTGTCATTCTTACTATTGCATGTTACAACATTCGCGTTCCGAAGTGACCTGTTGCGCCTGTCACTCGTGTCGGTGTCGGCATGCACCCTGCGGTCTGTTCGCAGTGCCTGCGCGGGCCCCACCTGGACCATTGCCCACCCTCCACGTGCCCCGCCCAGACCCGTATTCACCCGCTGTGTGCCCCGCGAGCCTGCGACGACAGATCCCGACCGGCCGTGTCGTCGGTCCCGCTGGCCCGCCGCACCCTCGCTCCCTGGGTGCTCCGTGACCCCGCGACAGTCCGCCCGGCGGCGGTCGCCGCTGTGACCCGCTGGTGGCGCTCTGTGAGTAGGGTGCCCCGACGGCCTGGTCCTGTGACGTCCGCTCCGACCCCTCCGTCCGGGGGCGGTCGCCGCTCTGACCCGCTGCCGGCGGTCTGTGAGTAGGGCGCCCCGACGGCCTGGTCCCGTGACGTCCGCTCTGACCCCTCCGTTCGGCGGCGGTCGCCGCTCTGACCCGCTGTCGGCGGTCTGTGAGTAGGGCGCGCCGACGGCCTGGTCCTGTGACGTCCGCTCTGACCCCTCCGTCCGGCGGCGGTCGCCGCTGTGACCCGCTGTCGGCGGTCTGTGAGTAGGGCGCGCCGACGGCCTGGTCCTGTGATGTCCGCTCTGACCCCTCCGTCCGGCAGGTGGGCGCCGGCGTGAGCGCCGCGGCCGCCGAGCTCTGCACCCAGCTGGGGCCGCACACGCTGCAGCTGGTGGAGGCGTTCGGCATCCCCGAGGAGATGCTGTCGGCGCCGATTGCGCGCGACTGGGTCAAGTACAACGCCTACGACAACCAGGGCGAGGTGTGAGCCGCGCCGGCGGCGGACGGGGTCGAAGTCGGCGCCGGCGCGGTGCGAAGGCCACCGCCGGGCCAGTCACTTCAAACAACCAGCAATGCAATGGGTAGAATTTACGAGATGTTTATCGTGGCGGTGATAGAGCCGATGGTTGTCGCGGCTGGTGGTAGAGCCGATGGTTGTCGCGGCGGTGGTAGAGACGATGGTTGTCGCGGCGGTGATTACGGCGGTTGTGGAGCCGGGATTGCGCTCCCCGCACGCCTGACACGACGGATCGCCGATGTGTACAGAAAACAATGTGCGAAAAAATAATACATGTATTTCCTCAATTTCGCAGTACGCCACGAAATAGCCGAAACGCATATTGTCGGTTTGTCCGCGCTGAGCCGTACCGGGCGGGGGAGGGGGTCAGGTCAGGGGTGGGGCTGGCCGGCGGCTGGGCGTGCGGGCGCGGCGCCGCGTGCCGCCGGCCGGGGCGGGGACACTGACCGGTGTAATGCCCGCGGTCCGGTGCGGGGGCGCGCCGCGCGGCGGCCGCCCCCGGCAGCAGTCAGTCACTCGATCTCTCTGAGGCGGTTCGACGGCCAGGCGGCGGTGCCGACGGCGCAGCTGCGGGCCGGTCGGCCGGCCGCGCCCTCGGCCCCCCGCTACGGCTGGTACGGCGCCGTCAGGGGGGCGTCCTCAGGGCCGGCCGGCCGGCTCGCCACGGCGCCGGCGGCACGGGCGCGCGCGCCGCCGCCGCCCGCCCGGCGCACCGTCGGCCGCCCGATAAGGGTCGGGCTTCAGGGCGGCGTCATCAGACCGGGCGGACAGCGGCGGAGCGCACGCCCCCTCACACGCACTCACACAGCATGGCGCCGCCGCCGACCACAGACAGACAGACAAGACACAGGCAGGCGCTCGCTCCCCGGGCCGGCGCTGACTAGAGCTGTGGGGTCCATCGACGTCCAGACACGACATCAGAACACGCCGAGAAGCGGGCTGGCGGGCGGAAGCGAGCGCGTCGAACGGCTCACCGAACGTGTTACCAGCGGACAGAGGACAAGAAGACCGTTCATAATAAAATTCTCGCGAAATAACGCTGCTCTAAACTCAGGTCCCAATCACTACCTGCCACATAACGACTTTGCGAAAACAAAGTTGGGTATAGGCCAATTGGGGGATTAATTAGACTCATACATTCATGACTTGCACACTACGCACTATCACATTTTTTGACTTTTTGTACTTTTTAACTTTTTATGACAATTTGCTTTCCAAGTACTTTTTGTACTTTTTTTGAATGTTTTCCAAAACTGGACACGGTGTCAGAGACATTGGAAACATGTGAAAAGCAAAACACGGAACGTCGGGGGCCTGCGGCGGCGGCGGCGGCGGCGGAGGCCTTTGCCCGTTGTTGCGGGCGCGAGGCGCGGCCGGGTCGCCGTCGTCCGCTCACTCGTCGGGTAGAGCGGTGACGACGGCGGCGGGCGCCAGCCGGCCGGCCGGCCGCGCGCACGCCTGGTTGCAGTCGGTGCCGCACGCCGTCCAGCGGTGGCGGCGCGAGTTGCGCGCGCCCGAGCCCGGTCCGGCAGAGTCCCAGCTGGAACAGCGGCGGCGCGCGGTCAGCCGACGGAGAGGCGGCGCGCGCTTAATGACGGCGGGTGGCGCCGGTTCGCACAGCTGTGCGCCGGCCAGGGAGAGGCCGGTTTAAGTGTCGCCCGGTTCAAGGTCCCGGTCGGCGCTCGGCGCCGGGCCGGGGCGCCGGCACCGGTCGGCGCTCCGCACCGGGCCGGGGTGCCCGGTCAGCGAGGATAGCGATGCGGCGGGCCGACCGGTGAGGCAATCACGGCGACCAACACGAGGCCGATACCACAGTGTCACGACGATGATGGCTGGATTATCCCATTCTCCGTGCCCGTGATGGATGACGGCAATGCTAAAAACACCTGCCTTTACGGTATCTGCCAGCGGCTGGCTTTAATGAACTGTTGAAGGGTGGGGAGGGCTGGTTCTTGACAGCCAAGGACAGAGGCCACTGACCATTACATGGCCAGCGAAACACAGGTTATTGACCGACGTTTCGTAACAGCGGCTGCAAAAACGTCGGACCACAAGCCATGTTTCCCTGACGAGAACATCGAGCCTCTAGGTCATGCTGGCCTCCCCCGGGCACACGTGAAAACGAAGCGGCGGAACCGCAGATGGATCGGGAGAGCCGCTGAAGGAGGGTACGTAGATTGCCGGGGAGTGCTAAATCTTAACCTTGCTCAAGGGCATTGGTCCCATGACGCGATGGTCTTTTCACACACACACGTGAGGACCAAACGGCGGCGGGCAACAGCGGACACGGCTTCCAACGTCCAAAAACATCCCCTGCCAAGCGCAGAACGCGTGCTGGCCCTCAGCGCTCGAGGCGCCTCGGACCCGGTGCGGACCTTTCTTCGATGGTGGGGAGTACAGAGCGCAGCCGCGTGGTGGGCCGCAGCTGCTTCAGCGTCCTGTTGGAGAGCCGCCACATGAGCCGCTGGCGGGCGCGCTGCGGCGTGCATCCGGCAGAATTGTAGTTGGCCACCAGCTGCGACACCAGCTCGCGGGTCTTCGCGAACGACGCGTCCGGAATCTGCCGACGGCGTGGGAGAAGCGGGTCAGCACATGCCGGCGCGGGGGCGGGGCCATAGTGGAGGTCACACGTCAGCTACAGTCCGTGGCCTTTGTATGACGCGACGTGACAGCCAACCACACATTGAAAGGAGAGCGGGGTCACAAAAGATTTACACAGCGGCACCGAACCACGAGACCGCGGCCCGACCAGAAGCTCTCCCCTTCCTCACCACCACTGGCCCACAGCGAGCGCCCTCCCCCCGGCCGCGGTGGCAGTGGCCGCCGGACGGCCAGACGTACCCGGCAGAAGTGCTGCAGGTCGCGCACCAGCACCGCCGTCGGCTCGCCGGCGCACAGCTCGTGCAGGCGGCCGGCGATCAGCGCCAGCGCCAGCTCGGAGCTGCGCGCCGCCGAGGCGGCGCCCGTGCACACGACACTCTCCAGCCGGCGCACCAGCGCCTCGGCGTCGACGGCGGCGACGGCCTGCGCCAGCGGCGCTGGCAGCCGGCCGGCCGTCTCGCGCAGCAGGGCGGCCAGCAGCCGCAGGAGAGCGGCCGCCGTCACCGGGCGCGTGGCGGCCGTGCGGTCGCAGCCCAGCTTGTCGGCGATGATGCGGCTCATGCGCACCACGTCGCCGGCCGAGCACTTGGCCTGGCTGATGTTCACCAGATCGGCCGGGCTGCGCGCCGCCGCCGTCACCTGCGGCTGGTCGCGCGCCACGTACTCGACGCCCAGGTGGAACGAGCTGATGGCGATGCAGCTCAGGTGCTTGGGGCGCGCGCGCATGCGGCTCAGGAAGCGGTCCATGATGTTCAGGGCGATGAAGAGGGCGTCTGGAGGCAGCTCGTACCACACCTTCAGACACCGGAGCACCTGGGCAGAGCCGTCGCGCATGCCCATCGTCACGTCGCTGCCATTCTGAAACGGCAGAGGAGGCGGCGGTCAGGCACGCCCACTAGGGCAGCGCTCAGCTCACTGGGGCGGCGGCCGTGGCCACGCCGGAACAACGACACACATGATAACACGGGTCCTCCGAGGGCGAAGCAGGATTCGAAAGAAAGTGTACCCAACGCATCTGCTTTCAGGGGAGGGTCATGCAAATAAAGCCCAGCGTCCCGCTACTCCGCTCATGCAGCCGCAAGAAGACAGAGGGCGGCAACGCGTCACTGTCCCGGCGCCAGCGCGACCCGGCGGTGACGCGGTGACCGAGAGCGGGCCCGAAGGAGGGCCTCGCCCCTCCCCCCCCCCCCTCCCCCAGACCTGACAACCGACCAGTGCCGGAGGGGGCCGCCAGCCCGGCGGCGGGCAGCCGCGTCAGGACGCCGCTCGCCTTTTTTCGTGGGTCGTAACTGTAACCGGGCAGAGCGGGCGCCGCCGTAACGGTACCGGCAGCAGCCTCTGCAGAGCTCTGCCGGCTCTGCCAGCTGGCAGGCGTCCGCGGGTCCACCAAGTGGGGCTCGACTTTCCGCCGCCCGGCGGTGGGCGTCGCGCGCGCTGGGAGCCCGCCAGCCCGATCAAGGTCCAAAATATTTACCTGCCCTGAGAAACGACGCGCGTCAACTCCACATGAATGAGGCTCCGGACCACTTACTGCCCGGAAAAACCGACGGTGGCTAACACACGGCGAAAACCCACCAGTTGACTAAACGAGCGCGGGCCTTGCCGCAGGTGGTCATCGTTTCCCGCCGCTGTGCCGGCCTTGGCGCCAGCGCCGCACCTCAAAGCCCATAACAAAGCTAACCTTGCCACCCGGCGGGGAGCGGAGAGCCGATAACCCGACCGGACGTGGCGTGCGGCGGCGGCCCTGAAGCGCGGCGGACGAGGGCGACGCGGCGACCGCCCTGGCCGGCCGCCGACCCGAGGCCAGAGCGACCAGCTGGCCGCCACCCCCGCCGCCGCGGCCGGCTCTCATGACGTGGCGATCAGCCCGATTATCTGCACATCGGCCGCTCCGACGGCAGAAAGCGAGCGCGGTGCGGCCGGCGCCGACGACCTTGGTCGAAACCGGTCGCGACGGCGGCTCGCCGGCCCGGGGCGGACATAAAGGGTGGCCCTGCCGGCCGAGCCCGGCCGTCGCCAAACAAGGAGCGCCGGCGCCCCGACATCGCGCATCCGCCTGCCAAAGCCAGCGGCCGCCAGGGAGCGTGGGCCTGCCGCCTCCGCAGAGGCGCCGCCCAGCCGCACGCAGGCTGATCGGGGGACGCGCGCCCCGGCGAAGGCCGCCCACCGTCCAGCTGACCGACCAGCTGGTGGCCTGAGGGTCTTCCGCCGGCCGGCCGGCCGGCAGACGGCGTCCGGCCGGCCACCTGCCGGCGCCGCCACCTGCCGACGACGTCGAGCGGTCCCGATTCAAACAGCCGCGCCGCCTCGGGCGAGGCCGGTACCGGACACAGGGGGCCGATTGTCTGCGGTCAGGTCCGCTGGCGGACAGCCCCGGGCCTCCGTCGCGGGGTCCCAATGTCCGCTGAGGGGCGGCTCGCGACCGGGCAGAGCAGCGCGCTCGCTTTCTGGCACGCAGGTCAGCCGACCATGGCCCCCGGGGGTGGTACAGGTAGCCATGGAAAACCATCGACCGCGCCGCGACAACAAACTGCGCTCTCAAATTCCGAACCCGCTGTCTCCCAACCCACGCTGCGTTGCCTTCCAAGATGGCGGACACCTTCGCCCGCCACTATACGAGACTACGGTTTCTCGTACAAATGCACCACTCATGGGGCACGCACGGATGGGCCTGTGTGCATTTCGCACGGATTCACCCGCCACTTTCAGCGCAGCGGTGCTTTACGCGACCGCGGGATCCCACCGGAGGCCGTCCCGGGGCCTCGGCCGTGGCACGCGCGGCCCGTGGGAGCATCGCGCGGCTAACCAAACGGCCTCGCCGTATCCGACAGCCGGCCGGATGCTTGCCGCTTCCCTGCGCGAGCCGCAGAGGCACGTGTCCTCCGACGTGGCGTCGTAAACCGCCGATGGAAGTACTCCGTCAACAACGCGACGTCAAACCTTTCCGGGGGCGGCGACGACCGAGGCATGTGGGAGGGCCTCGAGACGCGTCCCCGCCGCGCACAACTCGCGTCCCAAGCTGCGCGAGAGAAACCCGATTCGCGACCCCGACCCGTGCCCATGTACGGCAGGGCCCGCGCGACGCAGTGGCGCCGTCCTCGTCACCGGTGACGTCACCCCATGACGTCAGCTCCGGCCCAGCTGTGCACGGCCGCCGCTCGGCCGTGGGCGGCGAGTGTTCAAGGCCCGGCCACGGCCAGGCCAGGCCAGGGGTCGCACCTGCGGGGCGTGTCTGCCGCCGAGCGAGCGCCTCCACCCTCCGGCGGCCGCGCGCCAGTTACTCCGATGAGTGCGTGACCCAGATCGGCTGCCGCTGGCTGGCGCGTGCGTCTGCGTGCACGGCTATTTCTGATCGGGCGGCCGATGCCGCTGGTCGCTGCCGGTGTAGCGCCGAGCCCCGCTGGGCTATTCGCCGGCCGCACACCCTTGACACCAATCTTGAACGAGCGAAGACTGAACGAGTCCGAGCGACCCAACGCCAAGGCTTCATGGTAAACAGACGGCCGAAGGCCGCCGGCGCACTCGTTCCGCAGGGCACCGGCGGGTGCCGCACAAGCCACGGCGCGCCCGGGAAGACATCCCATCCCGCGCCGACACATCTTGCTGCCCCGAGCACACGGCGCAAAAACACGCCCCACCTCTAGAAAAAACCGAAGCTAGGATGAAGGCCGAAAAAGACGGCACAACCGGCACAAGGTCACCGCCAGCCGGGAGTCCGTCACGCGGAGAGTCCGTGCCGTGCCGTGCGCGGCCGGCCCGAGGCGCGGTGTCACGACGCGGTGTCACGCGGCCCGCAGCTGGCGCGGCGCTGCTCCCCGGTCACGGGTGAACGACCGGCGGCCGGCCGTCAGCCGCCGCCCGCTCCGGTCGATAAGGCTCGCCCGGCCGCCGTGTGACACGGCACGGCCCTCGGCGATACACAGCTCTGGACTCGGAGCGAGGCGAACTTGGACGGCATGTTCAGGTCGGCAGGGGGAGGGGGCACCGGATCGAGTCGAAGCACCAGCATTTGCCAGTGCCGGTCGAGTGATCAGGTGAGACCAGCGTCTTCGTCTTGGGAACCGCGCACCCGGCGCAGATCCCAAGACAAAGACAAACACGGCAGGACGGTGATGGCGCGACTGAAAAGGAAGATGCTCCCCCAGCTGGCACCAAATCACAGTATCCAAGCCATTACGTGAGGCAACGAGCCTTCACCAGACCGCAGGAAGACCAATCCAGCGTGGCAAAAACCGCCAGCGTTGAATGCGGCCGCGCAGCAAGGTGCCTTGCAGGCCGCACGAAAGGCGCATGCACGCTGCAGCATCGGTGCACAGTGTGCATAAAAGGCGCGCAGGGCGGCGCTGCGGGCGGGATGCCGCTCGCTGACCCCCCTGTGCGCCATTACGTAAGTCGCGCCGACGACTATCAAGCCGCGGCCAGGAACACAGCGTCAGGGGCGGAGGACGCCGGAGCCGGAGCTGGGGCTGGGGCCGCCGCCGCCGCCTCCGCCGCCCAACGGGATTGTCCGGGACGCGCGGCCCGGGGCACAACCCCGGATGGCCAAGTCAGCCCAGGGAAGGCTGGGTCCCACGGTCCCGCTGCCGTCGTCGCGCATTTATTTCGCCAGTGGCCACACTCGAGCGCTGGCCATTATCAGCGATGACGGGGTGGCCAATTTTAACCACGCCCATGAACTTGGCAGCAGCGAAGGTCGGGCCGTTACTGCTCGCGCGCTGCGCCTCACCGGAGCAGTGGCGGATCCCAGTCAATACAGCGGGGTCGGATTTCACCGCCTGAAACGTTGCTGCAAATCCGAAAGGTGCAGCGGGGTCTGATGTGTCAAGATCACTACCGCGCAACACAGCACCCCCAAACCATGCGACTACATCCGCCCCTGGCCACGGTCCCGGCTCAGCGAGGCGCACGGTGGCCTTGGGCGGATATAATGGCCGCGGCTGTGCTCGCCTCTGCGGGAGGCCCCTCCACCGAGAACGGCCGTCCGTCCGCCCGTGGAGTGCCTCACCGAGCGCCTCAGCAGCAGGGCCCGGTGAGCGGCCGGCAGGGGCGGTGCCAAAACGGTATGCAGGGGAGGTGGGTACAGCCGCTGACGGTTGTCGATACGAGGGGAGCGGTTGCGCACATCTCGGCCTTGACAGAGGGGAGCCTCGATCCAGAATTCGCTGCTCGACTACCCAATAAACCCAGCCCCCCCCCCCGCCGCCGCTGGCGCGCTCGTTCCGCCCCTGGCAGCGCCGGCGAATCGATCCCGGCCGTCTCCGGGCCGAGCGGATATTTCGAACCGGCACCACTGCAGGCGACGCTGGGCGCGGGCCCGCTTCTGGCCGGGCGGCCCGGCAGATGGCCCATGGGTCGGGCCCACGGGCTGCTGCGGCAGTTAGTGGGTCAAGGCGCGGCTGGCAGCGGCAGAGGAGCGGTCAGCAGCCCACTTTCTAATCGGGCGCCGGCCGGGACGTCTCTGGCCGGCGGCGCGGCTGCAAAAACGCCCGGCCGCTGACACCGCCGCCGGCGAGCTGCCACGCCACCGACGGTGCACCGAGCCGCCAGCGTTCACGGACGCAGCGGCATCGGCTGCCACCGGTACGCACGCAGCAACGGCCACGGCTGCGGCGGCGAGCGACGCTCCCCCCCCCCCCCCCCCCCTCTCCCCGAACGGCGTCGCCAGATGCGCCGCTGCATGTCATGCATCAGCCGCGCGCGACCGGCGGGGCGGGGGCAATGACCGCCGCCCGGAGCAAAGGTCGCGGGCGGCCACCGCCGGCCGCGGGGTCAGGCGCAGCGGTCCCGCCGGCGCCCGGAGACAGCCACGCTCGGGAAGCCATAGAAACGCACCGCTTGTGGCCCCGCAGACACGACGCCCCAGGGGAGGCCGCCCGTGCTTGTTCGGCAATAGCAGCCCCGACGAAGCCTTGCGAGGTTAAAACGCTCCGAAAGCGAGGGGGAGCGCAACAGCGTCCTAAAAGACGCAAACATATCGGAACAATTTCCCGCTTCAGCAAGCCGGACAATGAGCCGTGCGGTCGATGTCACCAACACAGCATTCATTGCGCGGCACCGCTGTTGGCTTCTCGACGCGACCTTTAGCGCAGACAAGCAGCGGGCTCGGTTGACAGACAGCCCGCGGCCATCGCACGGGAGCAAAATGTCCTAACAGCACCGCAGTCCTTAATCAGGATTGTCGTGCGGGCCTCAGCAGCCTCGAATCCAGAAACTTCCCGCGGCCGCCCATAAGCCAAGGACAACGCGTGTAGCTGGACGCCCTTCAGTTTCATGCAACTCTTTTAAAGCTTCTTAGCGCGCTGAAGCGTGAATACAAAGCCGCCCAGGTCCGCCAGCCCGCATCGCGCAGCCCCTATGCCGATTACGCGTGTGCTGGCCCAGATTCTGCACAGGTTGCCGTTCACAAGGGAAATGCTATTACCTACTGTGAACGACCAATCCGACTGCGGGTCGGTCAGAACGCCACACCGCATCCTCGCCCCAGACCCGAAGAGCAACCAAAAGTCGCGACTCACCATCCCTAGCTTATCATACATTCGCCCTGCCTCCGCGGAGCCAGCCACAGCGGCGGCAGCAGCGTGCACCCGGCCCCGGCGCCGGCCGGCTGCCTCCGCACCAGGACCATCCGGTCAGGACGCGGCGCTTTCACCGCAGCCAGGACACCGTACTGCGCCGCGGCGCCCGACGGGACGGCAGGCGCGCAACGCCACCGGCCCCAGCGGCGCCCCGACGCGCGCCGCGTTCGTCAACAGGCGGTGACGACACGACCGTCAGGGCCGGCAGGTCCGGACGGCTCACTGGCAGGCGGGCCGGGTCGCGCGCCAGCTGCCGACACGACAGGGCCGGCACCGCGGCCACATCACCGGATTCGGAGCGAGTCGTCGGCTGCTTACGTAACGGCGCGCAGTGGACAGGGGCCGCGACGGGCGACCCTCGGGCGAGGCGGCGCTGATGTCGGGGCGGATGCGGCCTTCACGGAATCTAAGCCTTCCTGGTGCAACCAATACGTCCTTCAGGACCGCGGAACGACGCTGAGAACGCAATCGAGCCTGTCATTTTCTGAGGTCAACAATCAGGTTTCGGCGACTGTACCCCTCGCAAAGACAGTGTTTTGAAAAGCACGTCGTTAGAGAGCTTTATAGCTTCGGTGGAATTATACTGATTAACCTCGAGAAACAAAACAACAGCGCAAACCATCGCATTGCGATGTAGCAACCGGACCGCCGTGAGCATTTCCAGCGCTCGCTGCGGTGTCGTATCTCGGCCATCTGTCAAGTGGTCTGACAACACCTGAGAAACACAATCGCCATACTCCGCGCCGCAAAGAAGCAGTACGCTCTCGTCCCTCTGTCAGCACCCCTCGCTCTGCCCTGTTCTCTCGGCGAGCGTCTGTCGCTCTCTCTCTCTCTCTCTCTCTCTCTCTCTCTCTCTCTCTCTCTCTCTCTCTCTCTCTCTCTCTCACTCTCTCACTCTCTCACTCTCTCACTCTCTCTCTCCCTCCCGCTCCCCTCCCTGCCGGCGCATCACCCCCGTGCAGGAGGCCGCCGCAGCGCAAGCGGCGCGTGCTGCCGCTCGCACGGCACGGAGAAACCGGGAAGTGGTGGCCTTTCACCGGCTGGCGTTTGAGACAGCTGTGCCGGCGTCTGCCGCCGGAGCCGCTAACCGGAGCCGCCCGGCGCGGCCACCGCGGGCGGGCCGCGCCGGCGCTGCCGCCGCGCGGCCCGACGGCGGAGGCTGTCGGCCCAGTCTCATGTTCCGTAACAAGGGTGCCCAATGGCGAAGAGGCACGGACATCCCGCAGCGGCCGGTGTCCGATGATGCATGCATCACGTGCGAGCTGATATACAGACAGAGACGGGGAGGGTACGACCGACAAGCGGTGGATGGGCTGGACCGGCTGAGGCCATAACGGGTCTGGACGAAGTGGAACACATCACGGGAGGAGTCAGATGTCAACGGTTACATACAACAGGGTTCTGGAGAGAAAAAAGGCGCAGCCCTATGCTCGCACACAGACCAGCCCTTTGGGATACCGAAGTTGTAGGCGGAGGGATCCAGACGCGCGTCCGTCCGGTAGTCCTGATGTACCGGCGTGGGCTGTGCCCTACTCTTCACACTGTGACGGATGCGCTGGTGCGCCGCAAGCATCTGTGCGTATCCCTCCCAACTTGACACGTCCCGCCGACTTACACCGCAACTTACGCACTACCTGACTTACGCGAGGCTCACCTCATCCCTCGGCCAGGAAGTCGTTTACCAGGTCGTTGTGAGTAATCTGCTCTAATGTCAAAATTCACATGCCACCATAAGGAAAATCAAGCTATGCTGATACGGCAAGATAAAAGCTTTGCACTTAATCATTCTCACACATGACAAAGACTAACGTGCAAGGCAAGGCTGGACAGGGCAAGACGGGCGTGTTGTTTTATATAAGCGGGACGCAATGATCTGCACGCTCCAAACCGTTCGTGCACACAATTCAACGCGTAAAACATGCTCGTAACATGGTACAAACACTGGAATCCAAATCTGAAGCACGGAAGTAGGCAACCAGCTGGCAAACGCGTTAAAACTGAGCACTGGAAGCCCGTAAGCATGCAATCAGATCCCAACAAACCAAACTCCACCACAAAAGTACTCAATCCGCTTCAAAATTTAGAGCCTTCCCGTCATTACCGACCGTGACTCACAATGGACGCTTCAGTGCTTGCGCGGACTTGTCTTACATCCATCCCCCCGCAGATAAGCCCCAAACACGTCACTACAGGGACGTCATTAACGGAACTACACAGCGCCGGGCTGACTCTTTGCGCATGTGAAAACAAAGCACAAAATGGCCTCATGTGCCACCCAAACGCCACCTCTGTCTCCAACGTAGAGCAGCTGCGCGCGACATCTCGCCAGTTGCCGCACCCACACCGTTCGCTCGCACGCCGCGCTCCTGCAGCACTCAGCACCCTCGTCAGCTGGCGGCGCCGCTGACCCGCGCGGGCGACCCGGCAAACCGTGCTTACCTCGGTTGTGATTGGCAGCTGCAGTGACGGCTGGTACTTGGACTCCAGTATCAGCGCCTCCTCCAGACGTCCCCACGTTTCTGTTCCCCCGCTCGCCATCCCGACCGCAGCTGAGACAATGGGACCTGCGGGGACAGAGGGCCGGTCAGTTAGGCCGGCTGGCCGCACAGCAGCTCCCTCAGCACCGCCGCAGCCGTCACAGGCGTCGCCGCCGTCACCGGTGGGGCACCACACGGTCGGGGCTGCTGCGCCGCGTCGACGGGACCGCCGAGCCCAGCCGATCATACCATCACGTGCACGCACCGCGCCGGGCCGCGCCGCCGGCCGGCGACACGGGGGCGCGCGTGCAGACCAGGGCCGCGCTGGCGAGCAGGCCAGCGCGCGACGCGCGGGGCCGGCCGCGCTCCGCCGATCCCGGACAATGGTGCCGCCGCAGACGCGACACGAACGCGCCCCGAACAATGGTGCAGCAGCGTATTTTTCGTCCTCGTCGGTGCAGGGGAGAGCACATTCATTCGGGACAAGTCGAATCGAGCAATGGAGAGCGGCCACGCAACGCCAAGAGCGGCCCGAGCCAGATCAGCCAGACCGCGGCGGATGAACCCCGGTGCCCGTCCCGAAGGACTGCAGCAGCGCACGAGCCGTGTGGGACCCGGCAGCTTTACGAGTCAGACAACGGCTCATGATATTAAGCCGGCCACCCTAGCGGCGGAAACTGTGCAGTCTAGCGACCATCTGAGTCACAGAGCCCCGCAATCAACACGCGAACGGACCCACTCCATATACCATCGGTTTCATAACTGACTGCAGGGAGTGCGACGCCATCTATAAATACCCGGATGCGACGACGTTTCTCGACTTCTTTCGCGCGCGCGGTGACGCAGCGGTGCGGCGGCGGGTCGGGTCAGCCCGCGGGGATACATTAGCCAGGACCGGCGGCACCCAGCGACGGCAGTTCCCGCACCCCCGGCCGCGCCGCCAAGGTACACAGGCCGGCGGCGGTGTGTTGACGGTGGTGTACGGCTGCCGTCCGCCGGGCTGACAGCCAGGCGGCGCGCGGGGCTGGAGACGCGGCATAACCCCGTCACAGCTCGAGCGTGGCCTAAGCGCGGTTTGCCGCCGTGCTGAGGCAGCGGCGCGGTGTCAGCGTCAGACCATACGCCGGCTGGGGGCGGACGGACAGCCGCACGGCACGCGTGCCCCCGCGTGACGTGCCCGGATCACACCCGCATACACACAGAGCACCCCCACCGGGGACCAGTCCACCGCGACTGCGCAGCCTACGGCTCTACGCAACCGTCGCTGTGTTTGTCTGTATGCCGGCGACCCGGTGACTGTTTTGACCGACGGCTGGGCCGCTCCAGCTGCCGGCCTTCGTGCGGCCGCACCGGCGGAGGTGCAGCCGACCTTCGGCGTCGGCCGGGACGGGGCGGCCGCTTACAGTGGACAGCAGGAAAACAGGTCAACCGTCCTCCAAACCTGGTTCAAAAAGACGGACAGTCCGGCTCGAGGAAAATAATACACCAGACCGAGTCGTAAAGCCGAGGCGGTCCGAAAAATACAGCCGATGCTCACCGTGCAGGAATCGAGGTCACCTTATCATCAGACAGCAGAGAGCACACACAGCACCGCGACGCACACACGCGACCATAACAAAAACTGAACAAAAACGGACTCGGGGCACCGCCCCCCACATAGCAACACAACGGTCGCCCGTAACCATCGGATTCAAAAATGTCGTTACAGCGGAGTCTACGGGCCCGCCCCTGCCCCACAGGCAGCGGCCGCCTCGCCGCCCAGCGGCCGCCAGCACTTACTATTCACGCACACATCGGCGTTGCGTCTTCAGTTCACCTCCATAGCAGAGGTGCGGGCGCGGAGCACAACCGACCACCTCCGAGCCAATGTTCCTTTGTTTATGCGGTGCGGGCGGACCCCAGCGTCCCCTACTACGCAGCCGAGCGGGCGGCGGCGCTGCAGCTGCGGCGAGCCGAGCCCGGCCGGCCAGGCACCGCCCCCTCCGCTCGCAGCGCTGACGTCACGGATCGGCCGACCCGTAGCACAGGGTGGCCGCCCGGCTGCCGCCGCACAGGGTCGCCGCCCGGTCGCAACAAAGGCGGCCGGCGGCCGGCCGCCGCGGGCGGCGAACGAGGACGGCCGCCGTGCGCCCGGCAACAGCGGCGATGGGTGCGGGACTCGCATGCAGCGGGGCCGGCGCCAGCAGGGCGCCCGCTGCGATGCGCCGGTGCAGACGGCTGCGCGATTGACAGGCCAAGTTATGCAAATCATGCGCCTGTCGCGGGGTCCCTGCCCATCCCCCCGCACAGTTTCGTCACAACCCCGGACGCCACCTCAGCGGGTGACGCCGGAGAATACCCGACCGACGTCGGAACGGTCGGGTGTAAAGCCCCAGCGGAATTAGCGCGTGTTACCACACGCTTCTGACGCTCCTTCGCCCCGCTTGCTGACGATCGGACGGCGTCCGTTTCGTCAGATCGGATCTCCCGTGACACATCGCGGACTCGCTGTCACGGCCGCAACAGGCCGCAGTCCGACCGGAAGCAACGGTAGAAAGCCACGGCAGACCAAACAAACCCATCGCACGAAATTGGGAGAAAGCGGTACAGGTAACGGCACCCAGGCGTCCGCCCGGTAAAACAAAGCCAAATATGCTCCGTCGCCACGCAGCAGGCACGCGGTAACGCCGCAGCCCGAGGGTATTTAGAACACGTCGCTCAACTAACGAGCAGTTTCACTCGTCCAGGGAGGACGGCGATTGCCATAACCAGGGCCTTGGTGACGTGGCTGTGTATTCCCGGCGGGCCGGTCCTGCAGCCCGCTGAAATTCCGGCCGCCACAAGGACAGACTCCGTGCCACGGCCGTTTCAAGTGCGGCCGACGGCCCGCACCGTGCGGGCGATCACGGCGGGCGATCACGCGAGGCGTGCGTGATACGTCCGCCGGCGATCTAGATTGGGCAGGATGGAGGACGGGGTACGAGGTACGGGGGACGGGACGGGACGGGACGGGACGGGACGGGACGGGACGGGACGGGCCGGGACGGAACGGGACGGAACGGGACGGAACGGAACGGGACGGGACGGAACGGAACGGAACGGGACGAGACGAGACGAGACGAGACGAGACGAGACGAGACGAGACGAGATGAGATGAGATGAGATGAGATGAGATGAGATGAGATGAGACGAGACGAGACGAGACGAGGTGGGGAGGAATCAGAACGGCAGGGGAGACGACAGGTAAACGATTCATAGGATACGGCGTAACGCGACAGACACAATACATCAACAGGCACGGGGACGCAACACCAGAAAGATGACGGTGCGGCAACAGACATGAGCCTGGTAACCAAAATTTGTTTACGGGGACCAGTTCTTCGTTCGCAGTTCCGGAACCAGGAAAATCCAGCAACCGGTTTGGCACCAGGCCAGAGATCCCGCAAAAGCCAGGATCCAGCAATAAGATGTGCTGAGAACCATCAATGTGAACCACACACCAAGGTTTGGTGTTTGCGGGGAACCAACCGGAACCAGGCTCTGGCCCAGGTGAAAGAACCAGTGGTCGTCAAGAACCAAGGCCTGATGTTGGTTAAGGAACCGGTGAAACTCACGAACTGATGTCAGGTGTTTGTGTAAGAAGCAATTAGAGCCAGATACCAGTGTTTGATGCTCGCAAAAGAACCAGTGATACCAGATGCTTGTGCTTATGGGAGGACCAGGCAGAACCAGGATTCAAGGTATAGGTTCACGAGCGGCGATTGGGAACCAGGAATCATCATTGAGAATCCGGCAATCGCCTAGGCAGTCTAGGGTGGAGCATGGCAAGACGCGACGGGGCGGCACCTCAGCGGCACGAGGGTTACACCTGGAAAGTACGGAAGAACGGAAACAGAAAGGAAAAAATCCAACGAGCAAAATCCAATGGAGCTGACGAGAACGACGACGCTGTGGCCAGAGAGCATCACCGCCGTCTCTGCGGCCGGGCTCCCACTCCCCCAGCGTCGCCGCCGGGTTTCCGCCAGGATCAGCCGTGCGTAGTGCTAACGCCCCGGCGTCCTCCAGCCGGCCGGAGCGGCGCGTCAGGCCCGGCCAGCCAGCTCGCCAGACAAAGCCAGCGTCCCGCAGCAGGCGGCGCTAACGGCCGACGGAGACACGCTTCGCGCGCGGCGCCGAGGTGGCCGGTGCGGCGGCTCGGCCGGACACGGCCGGCCTCGGCGACCTCCGGCCGACGGCCAGGGGCGCAGCGTCATCATCATGGAAGGGCAATGGCGGGGTCGCTGGGTCTCGGCGCCGTCAGAGAGGGGAGCGCCGTAGCCGCCGGCGGCAGAGGCATGCCGGTCGCGGCCGGAGCCGGATCCCGAGAACAGCGTGCCTCCGGGCGGCGTGGCGAGGCGGGGCGCCAGCAGGGGTTGGTGGACCCGCTCCGCTGCCGGCTGTTTGATGTGATGATGTTGGAAACTGGCCTCGGACGACGGCGAGCACAAACGGATTCCACGAGGAAGCGCTCCCGTTACGGATCATTCGCCGAGATATGAAATTTCAGAGATCATGTCACGAGCATCGGTTCCTCGTCACATGACTGGATACCAGCTGAGCCGTCCTCTGATCGAACCTAGGGCTTCAGCGACCCAAACATACCCGATCACCGTGAAAATTGTCCAACGATTCACTTCGTTGCATTCCATGCAATGAACTTCCAATATTGCGACAGACCTTTCAGAACAAGTGATGTCATTCAACTGTATTATGACTGCCAATGCGATCTGGCGAACGTCCGGGCGAACCTGGTGAGCGGACACACACTCGTTCCTCTACCAAGTCCAATCCACACGGCATTCCACCTGAAGGCCATCGCCACCCGAGTCGTGCGACCGTAAACCGCGCCGCGGCCGCTGCCGTCGGCGGCGGCCGTCGCCTTTTCCCAGGCGCGCGCGTGGTCGGCAGCCCTGCGGTCTGGCGCTGACCCCAGCCGTGCCTGCCGGGCAGCATCAGCGGTCTCCGCTGGGAGCCGGGCCGACCGCGCTCACCTCCGACCCCGCTTGACCTAAGCAGAAATGACAGGCTGCGCGGTGCAGCCGGCAGCAGGTGCTGCGCCCGCCATCTTGAAATATTCGAGTGCAAGTTTTAGAGCCATGCTGAAACTGCTGGCATTAATTTTTTTTTGCAAATGAGTTTTGACACACATTTCTACACATACAGATTGTCAGGAGGAATCAATTTTTCAAATCCAAAACCATTTTGTTACATCAACAGAATACCATAACCTGCCCCAAGAACTTAAAAACACTGAAAACACAAACTATGGAAATCAAAACACAAGTTGTGATGTCATGTTTCCACACATTATATTTTGTTGCTTAATATTTCAAAAGCTGGGAGGCAGCTGAAGTTACATGGACATGACAGTGTAATTATGGTCAAATCTTGCTACTGTACAAATACCATTTCTCATACAAAATTGATCAGGTAATTCTAAAGCTTGAATCACTGGCCAATGGGCAAAATCCATTATATCAATTTTTACATCATGACACAACTGCAAGACTGAAATGAGCTCAACGAAGTCGGCTAACTTGGCTTGAATACATCAAATCTAACCAAGGAAGCTCATACCTGCACCAGTGAAAAATACTTCAGCTACATGATCACTGAGTCTGCAAGTTATAATGGAACTCTAAAACCAATTCACTCAGGGGGCACCTTAATAATGTGACTCATGACCATCCAAATTGTTGGTTTTGTTTCATGCATGGAATAATTTATTACACACATACCAAACTCTCCAGGAATTTGAGAAAATTGTATCATCTTATTGATAATCAATACCAATTCAATAAACAAAGGCAACCAGCCAACAACCTGCATGTGTCAAACCCAGATGTGATGGAAACTACAGAATGTGTTGAAATACAGACATGATGGAGATGGATATTGAAGAATTGTCATACAAACAGCAGAGTATAAACAGCTTGCACACAATCATTATAATTTGAATATCATTCAGCATAAAAGTGAGTTCACAATTTCCTTATCATTCCTGGTATCTCTAAAGGCATGGGGCTAACCTGCCTTGGCCCTGGAGATACCTTCTCTAAAAAAGGTAAACTTTGGAAATTAAGTGCAATGCTGCATTGGAATTTGATAACTTAAACTCTGAATCATAACACTGCCAAGATTAGTACAAGCCTTATAGATAATAGAAATATACACTATTTATATCACCATTTTGTGCTTTTATAGTATACACTGCATACCTAAAACAACAATATCATAATGCCTTGTGATATTATAGTATGTATTACATATCTACAATATCAATTGCATGATGCTTCTAATACATCAGATATTATATTTGGTTGTGTTGCTAATAACAGATGGTCAATAAAGCTCATATGCCCCTATCAGAACAAACCTCCCTGTACCAGAGCTTCTTAAGAGCACACAACACCTATGACAGGCATAGATATCATTATCACTGAACCTAAAATACAAACTTTAAGTTGTCATCAGCCAGAGAAAAAATAATTCAAAGTTTCATTTCACCAACCAGATGAGATTTGCAGGCATGAGAGTAAATGGCCATTAGAGAAGGAAAAGGAAGCATGCATCATGCACCACAGACACATTCATAGCATCCCTCCTGTAGTAAGCCGGGATAAAATTTACCAAGATACTTGTATGTGCAAAAAGTGAGCAGAAAAACGCCACTAACAGCTAAGCACTGTAATGTTTAACTGATATTTAAGTTTTTAGTTAAGTTAACCTGTGATTTAAGTTTTCCTGGACAAGAAACGTGAATTGACAGCCAAATGATGCACAAAAAGTCATCAGTTCTTACTCATGCATATTCCTCTAACAGCAACCATAGTTGGCACCATGCTAAAACACACAATTCCCTGCACCGCGTTAAATTACTGATACGGTAGCCAGCCAATGAAAGAAACAAGCCCACCCGCTACAAATCCAGCGCACAAAGCCAGGAGGTTCTATGCGAAACAGGATTAAATGTACTCAAGAAAAGTACATTACCTCACCTTAGGTTGAATATTGAAGCTTTCAGCACTCCATGGTGAGTGGGTTCGGGAGCCGATTGAAGTTAAAAGGAGATTCAAGTCTGTGCAGGTCCCGGCGACCCGACCCAGTCGAGAATCTTCGGGGGTCTCCGCCGATTTTCCTTCCATATCCTGGTCCTTCACCACAAAGGGATTTTGTCATTCTGTATTGCCACTTGATTCGGTTTTTTAAGCTCAAAAAGATAAATTCTGCAAACCAACTGAACTGAATAGCTTAAAAAGTATATTTTCTTGTATTCGGTAAATCTGTGCAAAATTTTCACGGCTTTTCTAAATTTTCGTGCGGTATGTTTTAAGGAAGGGAGAGAGCTTCATGGACAGCTGAGATATGGCAGCAAAAGGTACTCGTACTCGCTCATAAAATACGATTAAAAAGCTGTCTATAACGCCAACAGTTAATAGCTTTTATCAACTAACAGGGATAAATGGAGTTTCTTGTATGTTTTGTACCTGTGTTCTTCCATAAAACATTCTATTCTGTCATAAAAAGGCTCTTTGTATCCAAGGTCGCAGTGATGCCGAACATCTCATATACACAGACTATACTTGATAGTAAATAGTATATTACATTAAATGGTACAGTTTGAAAATATGAAGTATTTTTATGCTTCTCATGTGTTATATATATCAACTCCTGTACTTTAATCACACATTTTCATAGGTCATGGTTCTAAAGAAGAGCTGTAATGTACGCGTATGAACATTTCAATGGAAAACCAAAACAAACGACCAGTGGGTACTATTTGCAGCAGTTTCATTGTTCTGTGCTGCGGAGAAGGGGGGCGTTCGTCCGTTGGGGTTTGGAGTTGCACTGTATCCATTTTAAGTTAGCGCTGGTGGCACCTGGGGTGCTTAGCGTTTTCGAACGGTTCTGCTGTGGTATTCAGTACATTCAAGCTCTCATGTTCACAGAAAACTGTTGTGGGGACCCTGTGCCCAATACCAACTCCCACTGTTGCGCAAAAGTGGGAGGGTCCCCGAATCGGTTGCGAGATAGGCATCCTGCAAGCCTTTTGTTACATTACCGGACTGCTATTATTGGAAGGACATTTTGAATCCCCTTACCTTTTTGGCATGGGGCTTCAAGTAGCAGTGATCGCTGTGCACACCTAAGAAGTTGGACCCTGAAGATGCGCTAATTATAAGATAAGCCTGTAATGGGGAAAAATCGCCTGTTGTACATGTGAGGACTCAGGTAAGAAGCATGAAAAATCATTTATCTGTTGCCCTGTTGGTGTATTATGACTTCCTTTGCTGATGCAATGTGTTACTGATTGTCAAGGCTTGCATCATCCCTGCTGTGTTCCCAGTACTGTGACTTTACTGCTTGTACTGCTTTGGAGCTGCAAGATAGCAGTGCTGTTGCTCTTTGGAAAGTATCAATCAAGTTGAATTTTACCTTTTCAGATAGTCATCCTGGAAATACCAACCATGGGGGACAAAAGCAAGCTGATTGGTGGCCAACAGAAGGTGCTGCAGGTCTTGTATGATGACTTGGAAAAGGAGCAGCAACAATGGAAGGCACAGGCCTACAAGGAATACCCAGATGTAAGTAGCACATCATATGATCAAGAAAATCTTCAAGACTTAGGGTGCACAAGTACTGATTTACCATGTTTCCTGTTTTTGATGGCTAATTAGATCAAGTAAAATGCAGCAAACATAGAAAAGGAAAGATGAAAATATCAGAAATGATGTGAAATATGATTGTACAATATATTTCAGTTATTTGAATTTAACCTGGTGAAATTATGGCTGTGTAGCTTAAGTTTTCACCATATTTGGTCAGCTATGTATGCATTTTGTTATCTCAAAGGGTATCTTTATCTGAGTTTTAATTTAAGGTAATAGTTTTTTAATGTTTATAGTTTTAATGGTATTTGATTTGTGATTTTGATGGATGCATATTTTAATTTATTTTTGAAACGTTCTTTCATTTCTGTTAATTGGTCAAGAGATGCAAAATAGGTAATCAATATTATGATGTGGCCATTGTTCTCACTTAGTGAAATTAGTTTTGTTATTCCTGCGCAGATATTGATAAACTATACGTGACTTGACTATTTTTTCATTCTTGCTATAGTATCTTGTGCATTTGGGCATGTGGTTCCATTAATATTTATTTAAGCTATCCTAAAAGCCTGTAAACAGGCAAGTGGGGGTCTTGGATCTTATTTGCATCATGTTCACATCATGTGTTGGTAGCTAGGCTATGTGTACTGTACTAGCCACAAGCATTATATCTCAGGCCACCAGCTATTCCTTTTTGCAAACCAACACCTATTTCCTTACTATGTATGCCTTCACTAGAAAAGCAGGAAATCTCTGACTGAAATGTCAGCTGGTCGCAATTACACTAAAAAATGACAGGACTTTGCTCAGCCGAGCTTTCCCGTGTGGCCCTCGCGGAAAGTGCACGGCCCCGGGCTGACGTCGGCGCATATCGATCGGCCCAGCTCGCCGTCGCGCTGTTGACGCCGCATCAGCGATGTTTGCCAGCGGCTCTTGCACACCCCCGCGGCAGCCGCTGGCGCCCGCTTTGACACGGCCTACGCGCGTTACAGCCGGGCCGGTCAGGGCCGTGGTATTCGGCCGGCGATGAGGAAGCGCAGCTTGCCCCGATCGCGGTAACCCAGACTTAGCAGATCGGGGCCAAGGACGGATTTGGTTGCGGATGTCGTGGCGCAAGGGCTGCGCCGTGTCCTGGTCCCGCGCAGAATGCGCTTGGAATGCGCTGATGGCTGCTCTTGATGCTAAACTTGGCGTGGGACGGAATGTAAAAATATTTTGGCTAGCGGCACCCATGTTATCTTTTTCATTTTTTCCATGTTTTAGCAATGCTGTTTTACAAGCTAGTTAGTTCAACGACCCACGGTTTCTGCAGACGGCATTTCAGGTTTGGGTGTGTAGAGACCTCTACCGGTGGGAATGAGCACCACTAGTTCTTAGAGCAGCCGCCAGGTTTTCTGCTGGAGTGATATGCCCCGGAACCAGCGGTAACTGTTTTGTGTTATGATGACACCAGTTTTCAATCTTTTGGATGCTCGTCTCTTGTCAAGGGCGAACGCAGATCCGATCTTTGACGCTCATTCTTTTCTGGTAATAGCTCCTGCATCGGGATTGTCTCGAAAACTCATGATGCTGGTACTGGTCTTTGTTCATCATGTACTTGACGCTCGTAAATTATTCTTGATGCAGGCAAGAAAGGCTTTGAGGTCCTGGCTTTTTGGCATGATGCAGTGGTATTTGTTATGCTGACAGTGGCTGGCCTGTAAGATACCAAGAGGAGCTGGTTGAACGACACTATCAGGCAAGAATTGGGTAATATTGACGAGACTAGCGAGGATCCCGATGCAAATGACGCCTGTAGCTTACCCATCCTTATCAGTTTATCTCCACATACAGTCATGATCATGACGTCATATCCGTGCAAGCCCTCTGCTTAGCAGCGACTCATTCCAGTTGTCAGGGCGTTTGACGGGCAGCGGATCATTCGCTCTTGGTCAGGGCTGGGGCTGGCGGTCTGCTGGCCTCGGGTGCACAAGCGGACCGGCTGCCCTCGGGGCCGTCCGGCCCCCGGCACCTCAGGCTGGAGCGGTGGGTGGCGGGCCGGTGCCGCGGCCGGCCGGCCCAGTGCCGCTGGTCCACCGCACCTCAGGCTGGAGCGGTGGGTGGCGGGCCGGTGCCGCGGCCGGCCGGCCCAGTGCCGCTGGTCCACCGCACCTCAGGCTGGAGCGGTGGGTGGCGGGCCGGCGCCGCGGCCGGCCGGCCCAGTGCCGCTGGTCCACCGCACCTCAGGCTGGAGCGGTGGGTGGCAGGCCGGTGCTGCGGCCGGCTGGCCCGATGCCGCCCACAGGCCGGCTCTGTAAGGCCGACGCCGGCCGCGGCCCTATCGGCCGGCCGTATCAGGCGCCGCCGAGCCGAACCGAGCCGAGCCGGCGCGCGCGTCACCGGCCGTGACGTGGGGCGGCAGGACTATCGCGACATCGGCGCGCGCCGGCCACCGGCTCACTCCGCGACAAGGAGAGTGGCGCATCAGAGGGCAGTGTCGCGCCGTGCTTGCCGCCCGCTAACGGCACCGCCAAGCCGATCAGAGCAGCGGCGACTTGCGGCTGACGGCGAGGAGGACCGCGTTGCAGCCCTGGGCATGAGGGCGGGTCAGGCAGGGACTGACTGTTGCGACGACCGCCCACACAGTCGGCCAGCGGCAGCTCAGTGGAATTAGTGGCTGGCCGCACTGGCCGGGTAATGCGCTGAAGGTTCAGCCTGATTTCCAACTAAAACGTTGACGTCATACAGTTGGAAACGGCGCCACCGAACAGTAACAAACGAGCCTCTCGTGCGGAAGCAGACATACTGCGCACACCAACTGCGGGAAATTTACGTCGACGTGGTTGATGACGTGTCTTAATGCGCGTTAAAACAGCGTATTGTCCACAATAAGTGTATTGGCTGCGCTGGCCCCGCCCCACTGAAGAGCACGGGGGCGCAGAAGGCGGCACCTTTGCCCGAGCGGTTCTCATTATAATACAGCAATCAGTGACCCTGACCCCGCCTGAGTTGTCGAGCGGGATGCGGCGCCGGCCCGCCCCCGGCGTCGCCGCCGGGCGCTGCGGACACAGCTCTTGGCCCGGGACGGTCGTGATGGATAGGCTCGGTCACGTTACCCCGCGCTGGCGGCTGCGGCCGTCACGGCTGACAGACAGCCGGCGGCCGCCGCGCAGCCTTGGCACGTCGGTTTATTTGACGCGGGTGCACTCGTCGTGTTTGCGGGTGTAGGCGGTAACGTGTTGGGCGGTCACTTGGGCGCGCTGTCATGGCCTTGTTTACTGGCGGTGACGGGCGAGAGCCAGCTGCGCTTTGTGGTGTGGAGCGGATGGCTGTTTGTCACCTTGCCTCCCATTCTCTGTTACTAATGGGCCGTAGAAGTGATAGGCTTTGATTTATTTATTATGTACATTGGTATGCATTTCATATCCACATTGGTATCTCTCTCACACATCGTAATGCCTTGAGCGGACCACTTGGACTAAGTGGATATTCACATCTATTCAGTTTTGCTCGCAATACGTCTTAACATAGCGCATCAGCAATTGAACCCTGCTACGTATCTTAAACTCTATGCCCACGTCACTCCAGCGTCTCAACTACCGTCCTCCGTGGCAGTACTGCCACTCCGTCCGAAAAGTCACAAGTCCCACACGAGCGCGTTCGTCTGCAGCGGCCCATCGCCGGGCGCCGCTCATCCCCACGGCCAGAGTCTCCTCACCGAGCGGTCTCGCACGTAGTTGTACAGATTCCTGTGTTTCTCCGCGTCGGTCACGCCATCCTGCGGCCCGAACTGCACCCAGTTCCTGCGCCGCTCGGTGACAGGTGGCGCTGGCGTGCCGCGCGTGGTCGTCCAGCGGCGGCGCGGCGCCGGCGTGGCCGCCACGGGCGGCGCGCCGGCCAGGCCGCGCCGCCGCTCCGGGTACGCCGGCAGCACGCCCTGCACGCCGCCCGAGGGCAGGCCGCGCCGCAGCCCGAACCGGTAGCGGCCGGGCAGCAGCTGGACGGGCGCGGCGGGCCGCCGGGCCGGCGCCGGCGCGTCCAGCACCACGCCCGGCCGGTACGTGGTGGCCGCCACGCCGCCGGACGCGTAGCTCTGCTGCACGCCGCTCAGGACGTCGGAGCCGTAGTCGGCGACGTGGCCACGCCGATCGGGCCGGTAGCCGGCCGGCCGGTCGCGGCGCAGCGCCAGCAGGGCGCCCGGCAGCTGACCGCCACCGCCGCCACCGCCCAGCAGGCCGGGGATCAGGTGGCCGCCGCGGTACGGGTCGCGGCTGGAGGCAGGCTCCTGGCCCGCCGGCGCCGCTCCAGTAGCCGTGGCGTTGGCTGCGGCTGGCCGCCGACCCAACCCTCCGTACTGGAAGCTCAGCGGCGCGTCGGCGTCCTGTCGGGGCCGGCCCAGCGGCCGCGCGCCGGCCCGCAGCTCCCAGGGCCGTCCGCCGGCACCGCCCACGTCGGCACGGTCCCACATGGGCGGCGGGACGGCCGCCTCGGTGCGGCGGTCCCAGCTGGTGGGCGCCTCCTCCGGCAACGGCGGCGGCGGCGCGCCGGCCCATGTCAGCTCCGGCAGCGAGTTAGCCTCGGCGCTGGCGTCCGGCAGCGGGCCATCCTCCCTCGGCCGCAGCGGCGGCGGGCCATCCTCCCTCGGCCGCAGCGGCGGCGGGCCGTCCTCCCTCGGCCGCAGCGGCGGTGGCGACGGCGGCGACGGCCGTGGCGGCGGCGGCGGAGGTGGCGGAGGTAGGCTTGGCGCTGGCCGCGGTGCCGGAGTCGACATGAACGACGACAGCGCCCAGAAGAAGCCGCGCGACGTAGTGGTGCCGCCGGCGGCCGGCGCCGCCGTACTCGTGGAAGTGGTGGGAGCTGCGGTGGTGGACGGTGGCGCCCTCGACGTCGGCGGCGGCGGCGGCGAGGGTGGTGGCGGTGGAGGCTCGTTTCCCCTGACGGCCGCACAGCGCGGGTAGAGCTGCGAGCACGAGTTTTGCATCCAGCCGGCGCGCACG